ATCTAACAACCCATTGTTGGGTTGCTGCCACTAAATTGGTAATTTTAAGGAAATTTTGCAGTTTTCGGTTATTATCTTGAACATTATTATAGATAAAGATAAACTGTAAACAGCAAAAATGTTCAGCAAAGTAAGATCTACAAATAAGTTTATACGACCAAAATTGTCAATTGACCCCTTAAGGAGTTATTGCCCTTTAAGGACAATTTTACACAATTTGTTTATCATGTTTTCTAACTTTAACAAATCTTCTCCTCTGAAACTATTGAACCAAAGTAAACCAAACTTAAGCTGAATGATTCTTAGGTTATTTAAAATAAAGTTTTGTTTTATTTTCTGTTTCCTCAGAAATATAGCCGCAATGGCTAAAAATAGAACATAGTGTAAAATGCAGTTTTAACTTGTATCTCAAAAACTAAAGCATTTAGAGCAAAGCAGACAAGAAGTTAAAGTATTCATTAGGTCAAGGTCTACCTGCCCTGAAATTTTTAGCAAAATCAGGTATCTGATTTTTAGGTTATTGCCCCTGAATTGATGATTTTAAGGAAATTTTGCAGTTTTCGGTTATTGTCTTGAATTTTATTATAGATAAAGATAAACTGTAAACAGCAAAAATGTTCAGCAAAGTTAGATCTACAAATAAGTTTTATATGACCAAAATTGTCAATTGACCCCTTAAGGAGTTATTGTCCTTTAAAGACAATTTTTCACAATTTGTTCATCTAGTTTGCTTAATTTAAAAAATCTTCTCCTTTGAAACTGCTGAATCAATTTCAGCCAAACTTGGGCTGAATGAGTTTCAGAGTATCTAGTATAAATTTTGTATTTTATTTCCTTGTACGTCAAGAAACATAGCCACTATGGCTAAAATGAAACATAGGGGTAAAATGTATTTTTTTTTGCTTTTGAAGAAAATATGACAGATACAAAGAACATTTAAATGGCATTTTTAAGCCACTCATTAATATATATTGAAAAGCAAAAGTAATCATTGATGAAAGATTTAAGCAAAAAATTACAGGTGAGCGATTCAGGCTCTTGAGAACCTCTTGTACGGTTAACTTGACGTTGTCCAGTCATATAAAATGATAATTTCTGCTTTCCTTGCTATCGTTGGAAATTCTTGCTTGCTGCTTGACGAATTATAGCTTTAACAATGGGTGTCGTTATTTGCATATAAATGCCTGTAAAGACATTATAATTTACGTCAGTTGTCCTTTTAAAGTATCCCCACCTATTTTCATATGTCTATAATAATATCTGTCACATTATATGCTGTACAATGTCTCATTTTTGTTGCTTATATTGTCATATCTAATTATAATTGTTAATTGTAATTGCACCCTGTGGGACCCTGATTGGAATAATAAAATATTTGATTTGATTTGATTTGATTTTATAGGCAATGTTTATCATAAAATCAGAATATCATCCCTTCACATTTACCCTATATATCATTTTCTTCTTTACCAAAAAATAAAACATTTCCGAAAAGCTTTAATTAGAACTTACTCTTTTTGCACAATCTGATTAAAATTCAGATCAATCGGAACTCTGATACTCATCGAAGCATAGACGGAAACCATATATCTTACTATAAGAAAATGATCCGTTTAATCATGATTAATAAAATTGACAATGGAAATGGGGAATGTGTCAAAGAGACAACAACCCGACCAAAGAGTAGAAAACAACCGAAGGCCACCAATGGGTTTTCAACACAGCGAGAAAATCCCGCACCCGGAGGCGGCCGGCTTCAACTGGCCCCTAAACAAAAATGTGTACTATAGTTCAATGAAAATGGACGTCACACTAAACTCCAAAACATATAAATGAACTAAAATTTAAAAAAGCATACAGGACTAACAAAGGCCAGAGGCTCCTGAGACAGGCGCAAAAATGCGGCGGGGTTTAACATGTTTTGTGAGATTCCAACCCCCCCCCCCCCCTATACATCTAGCCAATGTTGAATAAACAAACACACAGCAATATGCACAGTAAAACTCATTTTAAAAGTTACTGACATGCCAGCTCCAGACCTCAATTAAGTACTGTTCAATTCAATACAATACAACATGTTCTTCGTCTCACCCGTTTACTTTAAAAACATCTTTAAGAACCAGAGTCTGTGAAACACAGTGGCGTGGCACCAATGTATAGCATTGTAAGTATGTGCTTACAAATAATAAATAAATTTTTTTCAATAAGAATTTTAATTACTATAATCGAGAGACGTTAATTTACACGAAAGAAACAAATTACTTTAACAAAGACTTAAAAGCTATAAAAGGAAATTGGAGAAATATAAAATTTCTACACTTATGTAAAAAATGTAAAAATCTTTTCTGTAGGTTTTAGCGCACACACGGATATTGAATAGTACTCCACCTAGAACCACAGATAGCTTATCTAGAGTCGAAAATAGTTGAAACCAACAAAATATAAGTGTTTAAAACAACTGTCTATAAATTTCGTCACATAATGAGCGAAATGAAAGTACATGTTCTTGGCCCTCAATGGTATTCGGACAGCAAAACAGTGTAAAAAGTCCTTTATGATATTCGGAAATTTTGAGGAATTCGTTACCGAGTTGTAAAACTTGTGCTGATCTAATCACGGTCATTTTGAACAATAATATATGTTTAAACTATCTAAAGGCGTACACACTTCTGTATCGTGTTGGTGTGTTCATGCCCCTTTAGGTATGATTCTGTCTCAAAAGTTTTTTTTTAATTTGAACTGTCTTTATAAATCCGATTGTTTTATCAGTTTCCTAACACAGCATTTTCATTTAGGACAGAATTATTTACTAGTATAATAATATTTGTCATAAATACCACACTCTATAGATTTGTCTTTGATTCTTAAATTCCAGTTTTCCAGCTTGAATTAAATTGCTTGATTATTACCCCATTGGAAAACTCTCAGTTTATTTGAACATCCAGCTAAACAATTTCATAGAACTCCATTGTTTAACTGAAACAGGTATCCAACCAATGTCAACATTTCTGGTTGCAATAGTATATCGTCCTACAAACAAAAATTAGCGAACTACCCGATTAAGTACGACAGCAATACACGGAAATTGATTTATACCTCAATTTGAAGCACCATAGTTATTTACAATGCAGACCATTTGAATATTGTTTTTATTGGTATTAATATTTGATTTTGTTATCAGTAAATTAAAATCATGCTAAATTTTATTTTTATATACATATGCACATTCATGGCTCTACAATCTGTAGATACCTGTATCTCGGCATTGCACAAGGTCATGTTTTCTCTGACTGTTAATGACGTCTTTACACTAAATCCATTGGATGTTGGATGTGTACTGATTGAAATTTTAGTCTTAGGTGCATGATTTTTTTTATAACTTGTTATTGGCTTTAAACTAGCTGTCAGTAAACGCGAGTACTCTCATATCTGTACTTAGTGTCTTTTTGTTGTGGGGATGTATAAGTACCCTGCCACGTCCACTCTGTTTTTGTTAGATGTATTTCTGCTTTGTATCCATCTGATGAGTTAAAAGCCCTTTTCAACTGCTTTTTATAGTTTGTTCTTCTGTTGTACTGTTACACCACTGTCCCAGGTTAGGGGGAGGGTTGACGCCTTCAAACTAGTTTAACCCCGCCACATTCTATATGTGCCTGTCACAAGTCAGGAGCCTGTAATTGAGTGGTAGTCGTTTTTTGCTGTTTCTCATATTTGTTTTTCGTTTATTGTTTTGCATAGTTTGTTCTTATGTTGTGCCGTTACACCACTTTCCCAGGTTAGGGGAGGGTTTGGCGCCAACAAACTAGTTTAACCCCGCCACATTCTATATGTGCCTGTCCCAAGTCGGGAGTCTGTAATTGTGGTTGTCAGTTTTTGCTGTTTCTCATATTTGTTTTTCGTTCATTATTTTTGTTTATTATTTTGCATAGTTTCTTTTTGTTGTGCAGTTACACCACTGTCCCAGGTTAGGGGGAAGGTTTGGCGCCAACAAAATAGTTTAAAGCCAACACATTCTGTATGTGCCTGTCCCAAGTCAGGAGCCTGTAATTGAGTGGTTGTCGTTTTTTGCTGTTTCTCATATTTGTTTTTCGTTTATTGTTTTGCATAGTTAGTTCTTATGTTGTGCCGTTACACCACTGTACCAGGTTAGGGGAGGGTTTGGCGCCAACAAACTAGTTTAACCCCGCCACATTCTATATGTGCCTGTCCCAAGTCGGGAGTCTGTAATTGTGGTTGTCAGTTTTTGCTGTTTCTCATATTTGTTTTTCGTTCATTATTTTTGTTTATTGTTTTGCATAGTTTCTTGTGTTGTGCAGTTACACCACTGTTCCAGGTTAGGGGGAGAGTTTGGCGCCAACAATAAAGTTTAATCCCACCACATTCTGTATGTGCCTGTCCCAAGTCAGGAGCCTGTAATTGGGTGGTTGTCGTTTTTTGCTGTTTCTCATTATGTCAGACGACGACGAACGCCAAGTGATGGCAAATGCTCACATTTCCTTTGGAAAGGTGAGCTTAAAAAGCAGTAAAGAATAAAAAGTAAAAAGAATATTTATTATCCAAAAGGGCAACACACATTTATTATGATATTATTCGTACATGAGGGTATAGAGAGAGTTTACATAGTCGAGAATAAAGAATAGCGAAAATTGGCACACAAAAAAGAATAGCGAAAACAGGACAAAAAAATAAAGAATAGAGAATAATGGAGTGGTAAAATATAAAGAATATAGAGAATGGGCAATATAAATAATGAATAGATTAAAAGGCCTTCAAATTAAAGAATGCAGACATGAAGACTTAGTCTAATATGACTGTTTTTTTTGTCCTTTCGGATATTTAAACTAGAGGATGACGATCCATTTTATTTTAATTATGACATTTTTTCATATTTGCCTGAATTCAATTATTTACTCTTAAGCTTGATTATAATTACAATAAATTTATGTTAAATATGCTCACAAAATGAAACTTCTTCTTTATATAATCCTTCCTTTATTCTCGACACGTCGTCTACTTTCACTTTCATTTTAAATCCGAATAATGTCGGTCGTTATTTTCCGCTAAATTTCCGATCACTTCATCAACTAAACATCATACCGAAAGTAGAAATGTTGTTTACCGCTATCATTTTCATTGTTTTAAAACTTATCCACTCTAGAATTATTGGAACATTTGTAATGCCACATGGTGGAATTGCATTGGATCCAACGCATTTCAACACTTCCAATGCAACTGCAAAAACTGAAGCGGAGAAATTACACAAATCATGTGAAGAAGTTGGACAAGTGATTGATTCACTGGCTCCTGATCTTGTTTTCTTAAGCACACCACATGGTTTATCAGATTTAAAAAACTTCGTACTTTACCTGAACCCTGCTGGATATGGCAAGGCAGATACGGACAACTGTCAATGCCCACCATGCTGTTACTCAATAAAGATAAAAATAGACAATTCTACTTCTGTTGATTTAATTCAAGCCATGATGCCTACTACAAATATAAGTGGGTTGAGCGCATTTGGGCCACCAGGTCAGAGTCAAGAACTATTTCCTTTAAGGTAAATACAGTTGGAATAAAAGGGTGTGTGAGGCAATTGTCAAATAGACAACAACAGTTACTGAACGGTCAGAACCACCAAAAAAAAAACAACAACGAAGACATCAATAGGTCAATACACAGTAGTATACTATGTGATACCAAGGGGAGGGGGTGTATCAAAGTCATAGGTTAGACAACAGAACTGGGAAATGAACAAAGTGAACAGACAAACAGTTTGCAAAATACTACATAGAAATCAAGTTCAGCAACAAAAACTACAATAACAAATGTGAATGTTCCAGAATGGTTAATATTCCCTACTTCACTAGAGGTACCAATCATTTTATCTATTACATGTATAAATCTAATTATCAGTCTCTTTGGGTGAAAGTAATAAACAAGGAAAGGAAAATGAGACACACCAAATAAAACAATATAAATCTTTACAAGTCGTCTCACAAAAAAACATTCAGTTACAAAATGGTCTCTATTATTAATAAAGGTCACCATATGGTCATCAATCAAGCCTAGGGCTATCACCCACATTATATCTGCTTTATAATAATACATATTTGACCTAAAAGTTTTTAAACGCTCAGTAATTTGCATATATATAATTAATGTGAATGTAAAATGACCAAAGAGTTTTTGAATTATTTTGAATTTGACTATATAAAAAATCGGCATTTATGAAATATTTACTAATTTCAGGTGGGGGGAAGTTATTCCTCTGTACTTTTTACCAAATATCAATAGAATTAAAGTTGTAATACTGTCACAACCAAGTAGAAGATATACACAGGATGTTAGTATGATTCCTGAACTACTAGAACTAGGTATAATTAGGACACCATTTACAACTTCAAACATGCTGTAATAAATCAGCCTAAAATAAGTTTTTTCCTTCAGATTTTTTTCTAAATTTAAGTTCAATCAGTAGCATATTTGGGTCAGTGTCAAGAGTTTTTTGCTACTAGACCCTAATATCTTGTGATATGGTTTTTCTCAACTTAGCATACCTGATGAAGGTTATTTCAGAGACATCTGTAGTGCACACTGAAACCAATATCATATATCTATCATATACTGTTTGTGTTTTTCTAATCATGAAAAGTTTTTTTTAAATAAAACCGTCTTCTCTTGTCTGTACCTAAAACATTCAGTTGCATAAATCAATAGGTGAAGGTTCATGGTACTTGTAGAGATTAATGCTGTCAAGAAGTACTGTATTATATTCCAAACAACCAAAAGATACAAGAAATTATTTTGTTCAATATAGGAAATCTTGAATGGTTATGTACATGTATATTTGCAATATCTGCACCTCTATAAAGCATCTTACCTATAAAATATATTGCAAAACAAATCTGTTATTTCAGTAACCTTTGCTTTCAGGAGACCTCTCATAAAGGCACATTATAATTCTTCCTTGCGGTGCATTTTGAACACAGTGTTTTATTTTTCAAACATGTGTATTGGTTTATACATATGTTTGAAAATTGTATTGTATTGACAATTTGTCATTATATTTCAGGATCTACCTTATATAAATACTTAGAAAATCTACCACAGAAGGTGGTGACCATTATAAGTGCTGACTTGGCTCATACACACCTCAAATCTGGTCCCTATGGTTACTCAGATGCAGCAGAACCATTTGATCAGGTGAGTTATGGCCCTTTATAGGTAATCCTTAGATAAAATGTATTACTGTAAATTAAGAAATTATTACATGCATTTACTATTGCGATTTTTGTGGAAAGGACAAAAATGCGAGATTAATTATTGCGATTGCAGGAAAATCTGCATACAGTTATATATATCTGATATCAGAATGCAAGTTATTATTGCTATACTCACACAATCACATTATTCGCATTAATAAAAACCTCACAATAATTTCTGAATTTACAGTAGTATGGGATAGTGATGAAAAATACGGACCAGGGTAGAGCATTGAGTTTACATTTAACATACCTTTTCGCTCCTTTCTCTCCTGTGTAAACCTATCACTTAGATTTAAGATGTCAACCAAAATAGAAATAGACTAAATAGGCACCTCCTCATTTCAACTTCATGGATAGTTTCTTTAGCAATCATACCACATCTCCTTATTTTCATAGACTCAATAAATGAAGGTATTAAAATCAGTTTGTATTTGGAAAGGATGAGTTAGATTCAATAGAGCATGATAGATTGCAGTATGAGTAAAAAACAAAATATATCTGATTACTTTTACGTGTGGATATCACCAGTCTATTTCTACATTTTCTCCATGTTTTATCACTTTTATGGCAATTATGGAGAAATTAAATTAACATTTAATGCATATAAGGCTTCATTTAATCAATTTAGTTTTAATGTTATGACTTTCTGAAAGTAGAGAAAAATAGTGCTGCATATGCACTGTTCTTAGAGAAAAAAATCAATGAAAAAGATTATTTAGATAAAACTTTGCACCATGAAATACATAAATTCAGCATTTAAGCAAAATAACCATGCATTTATAAATAAAATTGAGAATGGAAACGGGGAAATATAGAAATGAAGAAAAACTCACGAGTATGATCATTTGAGCTTAACAGTATATCATGGCTACCCTCAACAGATCATGTTTTTTTTCTTCACTTCTGATAAATTTTGTAACTTTACAATTTGTTCTTCCATTCCAGGCAATAGGCCAGTGGGTATTGACATTGGATCAATCTGTTCTGACTGTAGATGCTGCAAAATATGTTGACAAAGCTTTATCTTGTGGATACACTGGACTTGTCATGCTTCATGGAATGATGCATGCTGGGGAATTGTCATCATGGAAACCAACACTTTATGCAAATTATCATCCCAGTTATTACGGAATGATGGTTGCTTCATTTCTTAGGACTTCACATATTCATGATTCCTTATAATATACAATACTTTCATATTTTGTTGAATAAAAACGCATTTAAACAAGTGCTTTTTTTATTACACATGTATCAATAAGGAGAGTGGGTGTTTTGAGGTGTACTTTGTCTTGTAAAATTATAAAAGGTTAAGGTACCTTTTGAGGTGTACATGGTATTTTGTCTTATAAATTTATTATTAAGGGCTATTCCAGAGAATATATGGGGTGGGGTTGGATGGCACTTGAATTATTTTTGTATGGGTGGTGGCAGGTCATAAAGTTCAAATTGTGCGGTTATGTATGCAAAGTAAAATGTAATTGTAAGGGTGATGGCCATAAAAAAGTGCCTCCAAATAGCCCTTATTAAGATGAATGTACTTTTTCAACCAATCCAGTATACCCCTGTCCTTCAGATCAGGGTATATTAATTGAATCAACTTCTAAATAGTTATTGTGGTTAAAAATAATTGACAAAGCACAGAATTTGTAAATTTACTGCATTATTACAATCTCATAATTAAATAAATATATGAATGATCATACAAAAACATATTAAAAGTGTAGACACACAGTGAAATAAATGTTACTTTCTTTTATTTGTATTCAGTGTTAAATTCAATATATAGCACTTGTAAAACACAATTATCTTTTTATAGAAAAAGACAAGAAGATTATATAAATAGAAGCAGGACATGCACATAAGTTTATATTTTCACTGGGCCTGGTGGTAAATTCTCCCCCATTCTTCAACTTCTAATATTATTTCATGATATTTTTGTTCTTTGTTTACTTATATTCCTGCTTATCTTTATCAAAGTCTGGGTTTCACTCATCTTTTTTCATGGATAAATACAGATCCAACTTAAAGAGTTTTTTATTATTTCACTTAAACATTCAAGAATGAATTTCACAGTGCAACACTGTCAAGTATGTTTTTCGCTATCCAGTTTTTCTAGTTAAGCTGTTTTGTTGATAACAGCCACATGGAGACTGGATAATTGTTGTGTCCATTTATCTAAAGCATTGTATCTGGCACATGTTGATTCTCGTCGTAATTCTAAAACCTGGTTAACTTGATCAATTCTTCCATGAATGGCACTGAAAAAAAACAACCTTATAATTACACAACTATTTTTGTCCTTATTAAAATCACTGTCTATTCAGGTACCGTAGTCCTAAAACAATTGAAACTAAAGAACCTCAAATGAGTAAGCTCACATATCCCCCCTGTTAGGGGAAGAGCTTATAGCGATCAAAACATTATACCCTCCACAAATTTGTTATGTGGGAATAAATAAATAACTAATAACGTATAAATGTTTTATTCCAAAGATGTTTATACAAAATTAACACCTCACAGAAATTGTTTTGAATTTCATTTTGGAATAAAATGTTAACCCCTTTTCAATAATTAAATTGGTATATTCTCCCTGTTTACGTGTTGGTGGCAATAGTGCATATAATGACAATCTGTCAACATACAGTTAAAAAGTGAAGTTTGTTTATTTGGTTTGTGTGATATGTGTGTTCTTTGACACAACTTCAAAGTGCAATTTTTTGCATAAACATGCCTTGAAATAAAGCATATTCACATTGTAGGCTATGAAAATTTTAGTGTGAATAAAAAATTAAGTTGTCCTTAAACCAATTCAGGATGGTGCATCTTGTTATACCTCTAGTTTAAACGCCTATTAATGTTGTTAAATAGGCCATACAAAAGACAGATAACAACATTAATATGGAAACTTTTATAACAATTAAGTAACAAAATCTTTTTTATTCGTGCTTTTAAAGGAGTACCCAACACTTTGAAAAAAATAGATTTGGCTCGTTTGATATTCATAAAATTTTGACAAAAATATGAAAATTTCAAGAAATTTGAACAACACAATTTTCAGGAATAATTCCATTGGATATATAGCAGTTTGAAAAACACTAATTTTGATCTCTTTACTGATAGTTTGTGATTAAAATGTTTAGCTGATTTTTAAAAAGTTACCTCCCTTAGGTGTTCTGTACCCCCTTAAATGGCTAAATATATACAATTTTGTCAGATCAGGTGAACTAAAAGGTTCTATCTATTGTAATACAGTGATTATTATATTTTAACTCAGCTGTTATCATTCGTCTCCCTTTCACCACAAAGTTATTTCACACCTTCATCCTCTTTAGATATACACTAGAAAGGCAATTGTTTATGTAGTGCTTTCACTTCATAACATATGAATTATTATAACTTTACACAGAAACACAATGTCCAGAAAAAGTTATAAAATAAAACAACACTTACTTATCCAGTATACAGGAAACCAGTAAATTTTCCACTTCTGCAGGCTCTATATTCAATTCCTGTAATAGAACCATTCATTATTCATATTTCAGTAATTTAAAAAAGCTATTTTACAAGAAATTATTCTCTTAATGAATAAAAACCTGGCATACCAAAACCAAATCTTGACTAACACAGGTATACATGGTGGATGACATATAAAGAAGACTCTGGCTGTTTTTGGTTTTCAGGCTCTCAATATTTTTCCTGCATTAGAATAGAATTCTGAACTTTGAATTGGGACAAACGTTGGGAAGAAGTTAAGTGTCATGTGTTGCAAAAATATATTTTGCATTTTATGAACAGCATTTGATCAAAATTCCTTCTGGTAGATTTTAAAGCATACTGCTTTTGAAGGCTTTATGACTTGTATGATTTAAAAGATAGCATAAACAAATCAATTTTACTTTTTAATTCAGGTTTAAATATCTCGTGCTTAGTATTGTATACAGGCCATAATCTTGCCGGCGAAATGACGATTTAAGTCGCCAAAGAATTTTGAAAATCGCTAAATCTCTCCGGCCGACTGACTTCATAGCGAAGTCAAATCGCTATCAAAATCGGTAAAAGGGAGACAACTTGTGATTCACAAGTCTCACAGGTAAAAAAAATGGCGGCTGACAAGGAAAATCGAGATTTTCGAAACGACCCAGGACTAATACTGTCAACGATCAAATTAAATAAATACAACGGCGACTTTGAACATCCTCGGATATAACTTTTAAAACTGTTCAAACGGAAAACTGACCGTCTGTTTAAGTTATCATTTTACGATAATTTTCATCTGAGGATGTTGCGTAATCACTCAGCTGATTTGTTTTATTTTTACAACTTACACGAGTCGATCAATTTTACTATTCGGTAGGTAAAAGGTTGGAATTAACGGTAGATTTATTATATTGATTGAATAAAAATTGAAATATAAAAGGTAGAAAGAATGCTGATGGATAATGTGATGGCAAACGTACGACACTCGACCAGGTTGTGATCAGCAGTGGATTGTTTCTCACGACCATTTCTTTGATATGGATGATATTTTTAAAAAATGATAGAAATTAGCTCTTTGTCGGATAATTAATATGCGATTGAAAAATATTTTCATTTATAGACTTACAATCTTTAACGATAATCTCAATTTACAACTAACATAATGTCCTGGACATTCAATAATGTTTTACAAAATAATGACAAGTGGTGATATAAGTGAAATTCAACAGGAAAACTGGGAGTTATATTTTTTCTGGACTTTTAAAAATAAATTGAGGCAGATGCACATGAATTTAATGCATCATAATCATGATAATATTACAAGGCTACTCCCTCATGTCCCAATCAACAAATTTTATTTAGAACACAATGGTATCAACAGAGACATATAATACAATTGTATTATATGTCTCTGGTATCAATAAATAAATAACAACTATATATTGTCTAAACCTTTTTATTAAGAACTTTCTATATATACATTGTGTACAATAACATATGAAAGAAACGGTAATGGAATCTCACTTCTCCAAGAAATTGACCACTTCTCCCTTCTCTCTCTTGGAAGGAGAAGTCACTTCTCCCTCTTCAAAATCCTAGATTAGGCCCTGATTGTATAGGGATTAAGTTTGTTCAGTTCAAGCTCTTTGTAGCTTAAATATTACCACTAATTGATAAGTACACTGTATTGAGTACTGTTGTGGTCTGGCGTTGCTTTCTCTTCTTTTTTTTTTATTTGTAGAAATATTGGTGCTCATCTTAAACATTCCATATATTGATACGATGAGGGTATTTGAATCTTTTTTGGACCTTATATCTTCTGAAAACTTTGTCTTCTTGCATATTTCAGTGGAGTAAGAATAGACTGGAAAGTGGGGAGGAATGCTTTCGAGAAAGTGACAAGTAAAATTTATATTCAAGGGCCATCACTCCAACACTATTGAACAGTTGATGCTATTGTTGAGAAATTCAAACCTAATCTGTTTCTCATGATTATAACGAAGAATATCATAGTAAGATAATTTCTATTGGAGAAATTGTGACAAGTAGTTTCTATTTACACCCACACATTTAATGAAATATAATACAACTTACTTTTGATATAAAAGGAATCTGTATTCTTGTGTATGGGTTAATTAGTTTTATTAACACTTGTGTTCTGATGTTTCGAAGTAAATCTAAAAGTTAAAACAAAATTGATTATTTATTATGCATTGTGTTTTTTGGTGTGTTATAACATTCTGAACTTGGTTTATTTGATATCCATTGTAAGTTTCTTTAAAACAAATGTACTTGATGAAAAGCCAGGACATAAAATAGTATGGTATTCAAGTAATTTTCTTTTGTTTTTTTTCACAATAGTCATGAGGAATGGGTTTTAATATTTATATTCCCATTCAATGAAACACTAAATTTTTTGGAAAGATGTGTTTTTATCATGTTTATACAGAGTCAAATAATCAAAAGCTAAAAAGGCAGCCAGTGCACATTCTTGAAGCAGCTGTATAGTATAGCAAAGGGCATATGAAATGTATTGAAGAAATAATAACAAAACTGGTTGCCCTCAGTTACAATTTCTTCACTCATAAAATGTCTAACTCTGGCATGCTTGTTTGATGGCAACAATGAAAAATATATCTATTACCTAATATAAACCACTTAATTTTGCAAAAGGAAAAATATTACTAGGCATCATTTGATCCTGAATGACCTATACAATGTACGTTGTATTTAATTTCAAGTAAGGATTTACAACCAACTGTGTTGAAAGAATTTGTAGTTAAATATTATGAAATTCATCCAAAATAAGTATTGTTATTTACAATGGTTAACAGTTTCATAATTTGATCATCCTTACCTTCAATGTGTTCTCTGATGAATGGATCTTCCATAATATTTCTTCTGTTAGTTTTAAGTATCTTCTCAAATTCATTTATGTCATTATTCTGATAGGAGCTGAAAAAAAAAATTATACAGTGACTTATAGTTGTTAACTTCTATGTCATTTGGTCTCTGGTGGAGAGTTGTCTCATTGGCAATCATACCACATCTTCTTATTTTTATATTATCATCAAACTTAAAAAAGAGGTAGTTTTCTTTCAACCCATATCCTTGAAACTTAATATTACATGTGCGCATATAATTTATCAGTTGTGCACCTCTAATTATGACAAGGTATAAAAATGTTTCCTTTTTCCATGACTTGTGATATTTGTCCTTTTTCAAAACAAAAAAAACAATTCCGTAAAGAGTACCCCTCTTGTGTGAATTTCTTTAAGGCAAGATCTTTCACATCTTGAAAACTGTTTGTGATCTTCCCCACCAAATAGTCACTACAAGGATCTATTGATCACTTTTGTATAACATTTGTTTGACCTACCTCACAAAATTATTTTCACAAATCACAGGAATTTCTGGGTCATTTATTTTGTATAACTTTTGTTTGACCTACCTCACCAAATTAGTCATTGCAAGGATCTCTGGGTCATTTTTGTATGGCTTAGTTTCCTGGGAATCAAATGGATTGATGCCTGATTTCATCAGCATGTTGGCCAGAACCAGGTATTTCAAACAAGTTGTTCTCCTGTAGAATAATAATAAATTAGTGAAATAAGTTATTTAAAAACAAAAGCATTGCAGTCAATATAGAAATAACAAGAATATGTGTCCATGTGACACAATGGTCCAATCAAACTACCGGTGTCCATATGATACAATGGTCCAATCAAACTACCGCTGTCCATATGACACCATGGTCCAATCAAACTACCGGTGTCCACATGACACAATGGTCCAATCAAACTACCGCTGTCCATATGACACCATGGTCCAATCAAACTACCGGTATCCATATGACACCATGATCCAATCAAACTACCGGTATCCATATGACACCATGGTTCAATCAAACTACCGGTATCCATATGACACCATGGTCCAATCAAACTACCGGTGTCCACATGACACAATGGTCTAATCAAACTACCGCTGTCCATATGACACCATGGTCCAATCAAACTACCGGTATCCATATGACACCATGGTCCAATCAAACTACCGGTATCCATATGACACCATGGTCCAATCAAACTACCGGTGTCCATATGACACCGTGGTCCAATCAAACTACCGCTGTCCATATGACACAATGGTCCAATCAAACTACCGTTATCACATTTATATGTTCAGTGAACTGTAAAATCTGGGTTAAAACCCTAATTTGGCACATTATTTTAAAAACATCAAATTGAACATGTGTACAAATTTTCAATTTGATGCGACTACAACTTCATGGTAAAAACTCATTAATGATACTACCTTAAACCTGACATTTGAAGGACAATAAACTAATTGATGAGGCAAGACTTCATTCAAAGTATTTTTACCACTATTCATATCCTAAGATAATAAAATCTAGAGGCTCTAAAGAGCCTGTGTCGCTCACCTTGATCTATGTGCATATTTAACAAAGGACACTCTCAAACATTGTAGACGAGAATAGAATTCACTACAAAAATCTCTGTTTTGTTGATTTTGTATTAATGATCATGTATTCTGTTTAGTTTCTCTCTATCTTGTTTAGTTTTTGCTCAAAACACAAAAGATGGTAAAAAAAAATCCTAATTTAAGGGCAATCACTCCTTTAGAGTGACAGTCTACTAACTATATAAAAAAAATTTGACTTGCTGATCAATTTTTTGTGATTTTAAGTGTCTATTTATTTATTATATTTTTTATCATATAAGACAAAACGCAAAAAAATGGTAAAAATCGTCATTAAAGGGCAATAACTCTAATAAGAGGTCGTCGGACGATTTCCTACAAATAGTCTAAATTGTTGATCTTGTCTTGCTGATCATTTTTGCTTATTTAAATTTCTATCTATCTATTATAATTTTTAAGATGAAAGGCAAAAACGCTATAAAATGGTAAAAATTGTCATCAAAGGGCAATAACTCTAATAACAAGTTGACTGACGATTTCGACCTAGGACTTATTTGTAAAACTTGTCTTGTTGATCATTTTTTGCAATTTAAAGTTTCTCTCTATCTATCATAGCTTTCAAGATAATAGGCAAAAATGGAAAAAAAAATGGTAAAATTTGTCATTTAAGACCAATAACTCATAAAGAAGTTGTCTGACAGTTTTGACGTATATGGACAATTGGTAGAGCTCATGAACATTTCTGCCCTTGAGAGATTTTCTCTATTTTTAACGATTTAAAAAATAATACACAAAACTTACATTTTACCCCTATGTTCTATATTAGCTATGTCGGCAGGCAGGGTCATCGGACACATTTTTTAAACTAACTACCCCAATGATGATTGTGGCAAAGTTTGGTTAAATTTGGCCCAGTAGTTTCAGAGGAGAAGATTTTTGTAAAAGTTAAGGGCGACGAACGCCAAGTGATGAGAAAAGCTCACTTGGCCCTCTGGTGACATAAAAAAAAAAAGAAAAATATTAATGTCTTGTAGCAAATTATTACCTTGGACTCCCAGATTCATCATAGTTTTTAAAAGCTTCAAAAAAGTCTGTGTGTGCTTTCTCATATTCTCCTTCTCTTAAATGCATCTTGCCACCACATTCTGGAAATAAATGTTCATAGATACTATGGAGAAAAAGTAGAAGTTTGTTCTATTTTTATTACATTATTTAAAACCTATAATATGATGAGGAAAAAATTAGACTTTTCTTATTGGTAAACATATTAAACAGCATGTTTTTTGGTGATTTTTTATGAAATGAATCCTGGTTTGACTTGGAAAGTAATTATGTTTAAAAAATCATGATGAAATGACATTTTTATCCTTTCGACAAATATAATGAGACTGTTTAACACTAAAATATCAGTTATTAGCTTACAAAAATAAAACTTAAGCCAAGTTAAAAGTCATATTTGGTTATGTAATAATACACATCATTCCTGGCTATTAACATAAATTTACATTATTTAATTTAGTTTCTTCTGATTGACTGACTCAGAAGTTATGTAACAAATTGAGTAATTGAAGATCTAAAGCTGATTCCATTTATAATTAGATAAACAAGCTTACCTCTTATTACTCCCATAATTAAAGGATGTGGAATTGCTGACTTAATATGTAAGGACTGTTCATATAATGCCTACAAAACACAAACATATTCTAAAAATTCGTAAGGGTTCCGCGGAACCCAGTGTCTCGCCTACTTTTTCTGTTAATCACAGGCTCAACAAAAATGAGGAAGTAAATCAATAAAAATATTCCTCTTGATACTATTTTTTGATTGTAAGAAGCTTCTGTCCAAGTTTGGAAAAAATCCAGGATAGTTTATGAATCTAATAAATGTTTAAAAACTTTAACTGCAAACTGAATGTAATGTTAACTGGAAGAAAAAAAATTTCCTTCTAGATACTAGCATTTGATCATAAACAAGCTTCTGTCCAAGTTTGGTACAAATCCAAAATAGTATAAGAATGTTAATAAAATTTTAAAAACTTAAACCACAGAGTGAATGTGTTGTTTCCCGGCAGAAAATCTAAGTCCATTTAAAAGTAAAATACGGAAAAAATGGATTTATTTTTGTACAAAATTTCCTTCTAGATACTAGCTTTTGATCATAAACAAGCTTCTGTCCAAGTTTGGTACAAATCTAAAATAGTATAAGAAAGTTATTAAAATTTTAAAAACTTTAACCACAGAGTGAATGTGTTGTTTCCTGGCAGAAAATCTAAGTCCATTTAAAAGTAAAATAAGGAAAAAATAGATTTATTTTTTTACAAAATTTACTTCTGGATACTATCTTATAATCATAAACAAGCTTCTGTCTAAATTTGGTACAAACTCAGGGTAGTTTAAGAAAGTTATTAAAATTTCAAAAACTTTAACCACAGAGTGAATGTAATATTTCCCGGCAGAAAAACTAAGTCCATTTATAAGTAAAATACGGAAAAAATGGAATTTTATTTTTAAAAATTTAATTCTGGATACTATCTTATGATCATAAACAAGCTTCTGTCCAAGTTTGGTAGAAATCCAGGATAGTTTAAGAAAGTTATTAAAATTTCAAAAACTTTAACCACAGAGTGAATATTTGTGGACGCCGCCGGAATGTAGGATCGCTTTGTCTCTCTTTTTCGACTAAAGTTAAGGCTCGACAATAAAATGGACAAATCAATAAGCACAACATAACTTTTTTCAAGATTCAACAATTTTATGTTTATTGATATTAAAAAATTATTATTACAATAACCACAACATGTGAAATCAAGGATCTTTGCTAGCCAAGGGTTACGATCCAGTCCCCTCCTCTCCATCCTTGGCAGATTAAGCCAACATTTGTGATTACAATGCTGCGCCACCTACCGGAAGACATAAGTCACGCCCATTCTGACTACATCATTCTTGACCAATAGTATCACTTGAACGCTCTTCAGTGTGGAGGTGTAAAAACGGTTGTGTCTAGTGTTTACAAATTTCGTGAAGCAGGAACCGAAAATAAACATTGGCATTCCAAAATTTGCACGAGAAACATACCCAGAAACTTCAATTAGTTGATTAAGAACTTTAAGATTGTCACTAAACATCGTCCTAATTTTTTTTTTTGGGGGGGGGGGGGGGTAAAGACGTGTTGCACGTGGCAATTGTTTATTTACATTTTTTACATATACACGTGATCACCTTAAATGCTCTTTTTGATTGGATGCAGCCAGTTACAACTGCGACCAATGGAAATCATTACATCGTGGATCCGAAATTCTATCTTAATCTGCCAAGGGTGGAGAGGAGGGGACTGAATAGTAACCCTTGGCTAGCGAAGATAATGGTATGACTGCCATATTTCATTTTGTTATTTTCCTTATAAGCAGTGTACAACTATCAAAGTATACAAGGAATTCATTTCAAGCTTTACTGGTAACCTCTGTTTTTAACATACTTTTAATTTTTTATTGTTTTTCTGGGCTGTGTACATCTGGATTTCCAAGGCATAAATTTCCAAGAGTTGTGTCCCTTTCTTTAGATCATCTTCACCTTCATCTGTCTGAAATCATTAATGATTATATTCGTACATATATGTGAATTATTACAGTTGAGTCAGTCTAACACAGAAGATCTAAGAAATGCACTTTTTTCTTTATGGCCACCACCCATACAATTGCATTTTACTTTGCATACATAACAATACAATTTGAACTTCATGACCTGCCCCCCCCCCCCCCCCCCCCCCTCACCAATACAAAAATAATTAAAGGGCCTTCCAAGCCCCCACCCCCTCTTATGTTTTTTTCTGGAATAGACCTTATAATCTTGAATGAACATAAATTTCAGTTTCTCACCTGACAAGATTGATGGAGCTGTTTTAATATTTTCTGTAATTTGTTATAATCTTCTCTGTCATAATACAGTTTACCCAGCTTCGTATTTGTTTTAAACCACAATCTTTCATTCTTTGCTTCCTTTAAAGCATCCAATGTTGTTTCGTAAAAATTCTGCAGCAACTCCATCTGAAAAAGTGCAAGCAAAATTATATAACTGAAGCAATAAAAGATACAATTTCACAGTGAAAAATATTTACACTGGAACCATAACCAACCAGTAACATTCAAATTGTACTGTTAAATACATGTAGTTTTTTGTACAAATAAATCATAAATTTCAAAACCAGAGGCCTACTTTTACATCAGACCTAAATGTATGTACCTTACAGACTGCTAAAACAGAATCTTTAACTTTTAAAAGATTACAAAACAATGTGTCACCAGACCAAAAGGATGAAAATACTACCAATTGGTAGAAACTAATAAATTATGTCTTTTATTTGGTATCAGTGATTTTCCTAGTGCTTAGGGGAAGGGGCCCAGGGCCCATGCAATTGGGAATTAAAGTTCGTGAAATGTTGGCTTTGAGGAAAATATATTAGTCCGTTTATACGGAGGACACACGGCATTAGCCGTGTGCAACTTGCTAGGGGGGTTTGGGGACATGCCCCCCAAGAAAATTTTGAAAAATTAGATGCAAAATCCTGCATTCTGAGAAGGAATAACTGTATGAATTGCAAACAAGATTCAAGAGATTTGTAAACAAAAAACCATGATTTGACACCAACAAAATCTCGCAACAATGTTTATATACATTTGGATATTTTAGAGCTGAAAATTGGGAAAAAAAAAAGCATATTTCTCTTTGGGATTGGGGCCCAAATTCAAACCCAAAATGAGGGTTGGAAAATCCCTGGGTATACATGTATTTATTACACAATATACCTGTTTTGAAGTCGATATGTAATCCAGGATGGAATTAATAGACTTCTCTGAGTAATTCCTTGTCACAGCTGATTTAATGTAGGTCAGTAGCTGCTGATAACGCCTCATCATTTCATCAAAGTGCCCCTGTAAAAATCACATTAATATATCTACATGAGTAGCATGACAGGTATCATTTAATGACATATTTATCACATTATTCAAATCAGACTTGTGAAGAAAAGTGTATTGATATGACATAAAATACTGCAACAAAACTTTATTTAAGAATAATAAAAATCCTGAAAACAGTAGTTATTTATTTACATAACATAAAAGCACTTGATGGTTTCCAAATTCTGTTTAAGTATGAGTTAAGAACTATATTATTCTACCAGTGCATCAAGTGTCGTGTGATGTTTCTACACATACACCAATTAAATTATATAAATTAAATAAAATGCTCCGCTGGGCGCAGCTTGATACGCTAGCAGAGGTCGAACCCTGAACAGTTGGGGCAAGTATGGACACAACATTCAAGCTTGATACAGCTCTGAATTTGGATTGTGATTAAATATTTGACACAGCATAGGTTTCTGACACAGAAAGAATGTGGTTTAATTTACCTATTATGGTCCAATATCCAAAATCAAAATACATGGTTAGATTCAGCATATCAAAGAACCCCATATATTCAATTTTTGTTGAAATCAAACAAAGTTTAATTTTGTTGGACCCCAACTTGGACCAACTTGAAAACTGGGCCCATAATCAAAAATCTAAACACATGTTTAGATTCAGCATATCAAAGAACCCCAAGAATTCAATTTTTGTTAAAATCAAAGAAAGTTTAATTTTGGACCCTTTGGACCTTAATGTAGACCAATTTGAAAACTGGACCCAAAATTAAAAATCTAAATACACGGTTAGATTCGGCATAACAAATAAATAAATACAAATCTAATGCACCATACTGTGCAATTAAAGATTACTTCTTGAAATTTGAAAAAAAAAAAATATTTGAAGAATAATTCTTTTTAATTTCTGAAATCTGAAATGTGAAAAAATTAACCCCCACAATTTCTTTTTACCCCCCCCCCCCCCCCCTTTTTCCCCAAAAAAATTCTTTCCCTCAAGATATGGTCATAATCTCAATTCAAATTTCCAATGGAGTTTGCAACCATAAAAACCCATTTAAATTCACCATAGTGCTAACTTAATCTATTTTATAATAGAATTTAAAATATGGTGTCAAATCTTTCATATGGATTTTTTTGTAAAAAAAAAAGATGCAACATTTGCAGATATTTTTACTGGTCTTCCTTTATAAATATGAATTTCTTTAAACATAATTTAAAAGCAGTGTAAGGGAAGTAAACAAAACATTGTATTTTGATTACCTCCCTTACACTGTTTTAAATTATCTTAATTGTTCATTAACCATTACTTTATACATAATTTAAAAGCAGTGTAAGGGAGGTAATTCAAATGATGTATTTGATTTATCTCCCTTACACTGCTTTAAATTATGTTTTGTACTAAAGTATTTGTCCATTAACCAGGACAACCTTGTTTTTCCCCCTTTTTTGCCCCTAATTCCTAAACGGTTTGAGCCATAACCCCCCCAAAGCAAATCCTAATCATCCCTTTGTGGTATGGAAACTTGTGGTATAATTTCAGAGAGATCCATACACCGTTCCACAGTTATTGTCTGGAAACTAGAAAATGCTTATTTTTGGCCCCTAATTCCTTAACTGTTGGTACCATAACCCCCAAAATCAATCCCAACCTTCCTTTTGTGGTATTGAACCTTATGGTAAAATTTCAAAGAGATCCATCTATTTAAACATAAGTTAGAGTGCTAAAACCAATGTGTCTTCGGACGAGCTATCCGGAAAGGCTATGACCTCTTATGCAAGTATATACTCCAAAATGACAAAGTTCAACTATCTCCCAAAAGAGCAAATATTAATAAAAATCAAATCCCTGAATACATGCACATGTTCAATATATGTATAAACAGCCAGCAAAGAGAAAATTTCCTAGCATTCAAACTGTAGGATGAGTTATCTGGAAACCCTATGCACCTATTATGCAAGTTAATACTCCAAAAAATGACAAAGTTCAACTATCTCCCAATAGAGCAAATATCAATAAAAATCAAAACCCTGACCACATGCACACCTTCAATATATGTACAAACAGCCAGTAAACATGGTAAAGTGAAAACTTCCTAGCATTCAAACTGTAGGAGGAGTTATCTGGAAACGCTATGCACCTCTTATGCAAGTATATACTCCAATAAAATGCTTCACTGAGCGCAGCCTGATACGACCGCAGAGGTCGAACCCTGAACAGTTGGGGCAAGTTTGGACACAATATATTTGACATAATACAGGTTTCTGACACAAAATAAATGTGGTCAAAGATCTTAAAAATTTGAAATGGGACCTTTAATTTACCTAGAATGGTCTGATATCTAAAATTTAACAACATGGTTAGATTCAGCATATAAAAAAAACAGAAAAATTTAATTTTAGTTGAAATCAAACAAAGTTTGTAAGGGAGGTAACTCTAATACAAAAAAAAAAAAACCCAAACAAAGAATAACCAATTCGGAGTATAAAAATTTATTCCACTGAACCATTTGATATACACTATTATTATATTATATGTATTTAAATCACAGTATTTGATGTTTCTATAAACAGCTAAAAATATTTCATACTAGAACTAGCAAACAAATAGCAAAAAGTACCAACATAAAGAAACAAAGCTAAAGTAATTGTCCATTAACCAGGAATCCCTTGTTTTTCCCCCCTTTTTCGCCCCTAATTCCTAAACAGTTTGAGCCATAACCCCCCAAAGCCAATCCTAACCATGCCTTTGTGGTGTGGAAACGTGTGGTACAATTTCAGACAATTCCATACACTGTTCCACAAGTTATTGTCTGGAAACTAGAAAAATGCTTATTTGGGCCCCTTTTTGACCTCTAATTCCTAAACCGTAGGGACCATAACCCTCAAAATCAATCTCTACCTTCCTTTTGTGGTTTCAAACCTTGTGTTTAAATTTCATAAATTGATATTTACTTCTACTAAAGTTATTGTCAAATTTCCAATGGAGTTTGCAACCATAATAACCCATTTAAATTCATCATAAAAGTCTTAAAATAGACAAGAGTGCACACGCTGAAATGTCTCGCCTTCTTTACTAATCATTGATATTATGTTGATAGTCCTAAATATAAAGCTTTATTACAACTGTCACATAAACTTAACATTTACCAAGTAAACTAAACATTGACCAATGAACCATGAAAATGAGGTCAAAGTCAGATGAACCATGCTATGCAGGCATGTACAGCTAACAATTCTTCCAAACAACAAATATAGTTGACCTATTGCTTATAGTTAAAGAAAAACAGACCAAAACACAAATACTTAACACTGAGCAATGAACCTTGAAAATGAGGTCAAGGTCAAATAAAACCTGTGTGACTGACATATAGATCATAAAATATTTCCATACACCAAATATAGTTGAACTATTGCATATAGTATTAGAAAAAAAAGACCAAAACTCAAAAACTTAACTTTGACCACTGAAACATGAAAATGAGGTCAAGGTCAGATGACACCTGCCAGCTAGACATGTACACCTTACAATCATTCCATACACCAAATATAGTAGACCTATTGCATACAGTATAAGAAAAACAGACCAAAACACAAAAACTTAACTATAACCACTGAACCATGAAAATGAGGTCAAGGTCAGATGACACCTGCCAGTTGGACATGTACACCTTACAGTCCTTCCATACACCGAATATACTAGACCTTTTGCTTATAGTATCTGAGATATGGACTTGACCACCAAAACTTAACCTTGTTCACTGATCCATGAAATGAGGACGAGGTCAAGTGAAAACTGACGAGCATGAGGACCTTGCAAGGTACGCACATACCAAATATAGTTATCCTATTACTTATAATAAGAGAGAATTTAACATTACAAAAAATCTTAACATTTTTTTCAAGTAGTCACTGAACCATGAAAATGAGGTCAAGGACATTGGACATGTGACTGACGGAAACTTCATAACATGAGGCATCCATATACAAAGTATGAAGCATCCAGTAGCTGTCAAAATATTTTTAAAAGTTACTATTTTAAAAATGCAAGGTAACTTAATTTTAGTCATGATTATGTATGTCATTTTTGGCTCGATAAAAATGACATACATAATCATGACTAAAATTAAGTTACCTTGCATTTTTAAAATAGTAACTTTTAAAAATATTTTGACAGCTAATCACCTCAAGACAATACAACATTTCTTTATACATAATTTAAAAGCAGTGTAAGGGAGGTAATTCAAACACATTGTCAATGTTGTGTTTGAATTACCTCCCTTACACTGCTTTTAAATTATGTTTTGAACTTAAGTAATCGTCCATTTACCTGGAAACCCTTGTTTTTCCCCCTTTTTTGCCCCTAATTCCTAAATGGTTTGAGCCATAACCCCCCAAAGCCAATTCTTACCATCCCTTTGTGGTATGGAAACTTGTGGTATAATTTCAGACAATTCCATACACTTTCCACAAGTTATTGTCTGGAAACTAGAAAAATGCTTATTTGGGCCCTTTTTTGGCCCCTAATTCCTAAACTGTTGGGACCATAACCCCCAAAATCAATCCCAACCTTCCTTTTGTGGTCATAAACCTTGTGTTTAAATTTCATAGATTTATATTTACTTATACTAAAGTTTTTGTCCGGAAAACAAAATTTTTTTGGCCCCTAATTCCTAAACTGTTGGGACCATAACCCCTAAAATCAATCCCAAACTTCCTTTTGTGGTCATAAACCTTGTGTTTAAAATTTCATAGATTTATATTTACTTATACTAAAGTTATTGTCCGGAAACCAAATGTCTTCGGACGACGCTGACGACGACGTGATACCAATATACGACCGCAAATATTTTGCGGTCCAATAAAAATGACAAAGTACAACTATCTCCCAAAAGAGCAAATATCAATAAAAATCAAAACCCTGACCACATGCACACCTACAATATATGTACAAACATGGTAAAGTGAAAACTTCCTAGCATTCAAACTGTAGGAGGAGTTATCTGGAATAGCTATATATCCATTATGGGATGGACGGACGAACAGGGGTAAAACAATTTACCCCCCAACTTTCAGTTGCGGGGACATAAAAACGCAGCCAATTAAGAACTGAGAAAAATCGTCCACATGTTGTGTATACAAACAAAATTACCTTGTGTTGGAAAGTATAAATTTGCTCAACATTGGAGTAACAATGCTTAATAAACAAAATACTGTGAAACTTAAAGAAAATAATAACTTCCAGGTAGATTGTTTAAAATGCAAATTAAATGAACTATATATTATACATACCAGTTTGAAGTTTATTTTTATCATCTGTTTCAAAGCTTTGAACCCCCATTCTCCTTTATCCTTTCCTTCCAAATCTAAAACCTAGTTAAAAACAGAATTACTAATTATGTAAATATGATTGGGTTCCTGTCTATTTAATTGACTGATTGTTAATTGCTGAAGGTTTAATAGCAACTAAATCATGCAAGAGAAATATGATATATAAATTTACCAGCAGTCCCATTGGGGAATCTTAACTGATAATCGAGCACAAAATAAACTTCTCCTTGGAGCTTCTTTAAGAGTGAAGTCATGAATCCTAGGGTGACAAAGTTGCCCACTTTGCCTGGTGTGGTGACCCCTGGGCATGTTGATTTGTCATCTGACATTTTGTTAAGTGTTATCTGAAGCATCTGACCCCACTCACTTAATTATCATGAGAAAGCTATGGATTTACTAATGCAGACTGAGTTTCAAGCTACACATCTGAGACCCAGTGACATTATATTATTCAACTATCAGGAAAGGACAGCCATGAAAGTGTGTGAAATGTATAACCCTTCTACTGTGTATTGAATAGTAGTGTAAAATTTTTAGAATAATGTTTGTGTTTAGCTTTGACTATGCAAAAATTGTAGACAAGGTTGAAGGCATACTCCATGACTGAAGGCAAGTACACTAAGTCTTCATCAGAGTCTACTATTTCAGATTGTCAGTGCTAAACACTACATGTAGATTATTCTTTTTATTATATTGACATAATCAATTTAGTGTCGGTAAAATACATACATTTGTACATACGAATAACATAAGCTTAAATGAGCTTTTAATATCTACTGTCAATTATTAACCAATATCCAAGACTAAAATATCACTCAGTACACATCCAATAGATTAACTGCATACTACTAATCGACAAGCGGAAATCATACTATTAACAGCTGTACTAGCTATCAGGCAATTGAATTCTTTTCAAGAAATAATTTCTGATAATGATATGCTCAAATGAAGATTTTAAATTATTTAAGACCATTCTTACAAATGTTTATTAATAACTTAATGCATTACCATGATTACACTTCAAGAGTTTACCACTAATCATTGTAGCTACTCAATCTTACCTTCTAGAACTTTATCAGTTTACAATGATCAAATAAATTGTTATTTGTACCTTTTGAAAACTTTCTAGGGCTTGCCTTGGGTCATCATCTTTCTGTGCTTTAGAATTGTAGTATTGATTTTCTAAGTCAACATCTGGTTCAGAGTTACTTTCTTCAGAATATTCCTAAAATACAATTACAAACATGAGGATAGTAATAACGACATCACTAAAAACCTCAAATAAAGATTGACTGATTGATGGAAGTATGCTAAATGTCAATAAAATGCTCCTAGGGTGCAGCTTAATACGACCGCAGAGGTCGTACCCTGAACAGTTGGGGCAAGTATGAACATGATGGACACTATATTCAAACTTGATACAGCTCTTAATTTGGATTGTGATTAAATATCTGACACAGAATGAATGTCAGGTCAAAGAACTGAAACATTTGAAATTGGAGTTTTACCTCATGTACCTAGTATAGTCCAATATCCAAAATCTAACATGGTTAGATTCAGCATATCCAAGTACACCAAGAATTTATTTTTCAAAATACCTAATACATGTAATAATGAACAGTAAATTTCAAACTATATTTGTAGATAATTTCTTCTCTAAAATTAGATTTGATGCTGTATTTCTTTTTAACTATGACTCTTCTTACAATTTCTATTAATTGTGCAATACAGCTCTGAATATTGATTGTGATAAAATATTTGACATAGCATAGGTTCCGACACAGAATGAATGTGGTCTCAGAACTTAAATATTTGAAATTGGACTTTTACGTATTATGGTCCAATATCCAAACTCTAAATACATGGCTAGAATCAGCATATCAAAGAACTGCAAGAATTCATTTTTTGATGAAATCAAACAAAGTTTAATTTGGGACCAATTGGACCCTAATGTTGACCAATTTGAAAACTGGTCCCAAAATAAAAAATCTAAATACACAGTAAGATTCAGCATATTAAAGAACCCCAAGAATTCAAGACTTTGAATTAAACCACATTGAAATTTGTCAAGAAATAAACAATTTATACAAAGTATTAGAAAAGTATTGTTTTGGACCCTTTTTTAGTTAGGGTTATAATTCCCATAATCAATTCCAACCTTCCTTTTAGGTATGGAAATTTGTGGTATAATTTCACAGATCCATACTTATATACTCAAGTTATCGTCTGGAAACCCGAAAATCTTAATTTTTTTGTCCCTAATTCCTAAACGGTTAGGGCCATAACCCCTAAAATCAATTCCAACCTTCCTTTTGAGGTATGGAACCTTGTGGTACAATTTCATAATTATCAATACACCTATACACAATTTATTGTCCTGAAACAAGAAAAATACGTTTTTGGCTCTTAATGCCTGAACAGTTAGGACAATAACCCCCAAAATCAATCCCAACCTTCCGTTTGTGGAATGGAACCTCGTGCTACAATCTCATAGATATCCATAGACTTATTCTCAAGTTATTGTCTGGAAACCAAATGTCTTCAGAAAACGACAATGCTGACAACTTCATTACATTATAAGCATTAAAAAGCAAATGTTAAACATGCATTCATACATGACATGTCTTAATGATAATATTGTTGAGAAGACTGTGGGATCGGCTATGTCTCGAATTACCTTTGGATCTTAGGTTGAAGTCACATCAGCAACGTTGTCTTAGCTTTGATTAGTAACAAGTAAAACGTCAAACTGAATAGCTGTTGTTTGTTATGTTGAAGTCAGATAATTAGAAATCATCCCCATAAATATGTTATGATTTGTATCTCTATTATGTAGTAGACTGACACCATGGACACACAGGCTAGATTTTTATGGTGGTAGAAAAGAAACTGTGTACAGGAGATAAAGCAATAAAAGGATAGTTGGATTGGATGAAGGTCCATTGGCAAATACTACATATATTTGTATTAGGACCAGAACATATTAATGTGATATGTATATGAATCCTGATCTGTATTAGACATACTGAGCTGCATTTTTAATGTGCTAGATTACAAGGTAATAAATCAGTTTGTGGGAAGACATTTCACCATAAGCTGACTAATTATTCTGACTCCAAGCTTATCAAGTCTTTACTCTTACACCTAAATGCTGTTTCCTTAGAGGAGAAGCAGCAAATACTAATTTTCAATAAGATTCTTCAGATTGACAAGGCCAGGGATTGAAAATACAAGAACTCCAATGCTTGAGGTTAGCATGCTACATTTTTGTACCATGAAATCACCAAAATGGCTGATAAATAAAAGATATCAGGTATATGTCAATGAGACAGCAACCATATTACAAAAATAACCTAAAGATATCTCGAGGGAAAGTTTATATTGGTTGTGGTACATGTAAATTAAATAGAGTTGTCTCCCTTTCATTACAGTTTTGAATCTTTATTTAAATCATTTGTTAGCCATTTTTCCTCAAATAACAATATAATCAATGGAAAAATCACTTCATGAAATCAGTGGAATGGAAAAATGAAATTGTTTACATTATAACATTACTGAAATAAACATTAAAAGTTGATAAGGCTGCATACAATGTATCTGTCTTTTTGTTACAGATCTTCATGTCAAGAAATATCTTTCAATTGTATTACAACTTTTCGGGGTACTTATTCAAACAACCATATAGGCAATAACGACTGCAAATGCTCAATTACTCTTTGTCATTTATGTTTTGTCGGTTTTCCCACACCAAGAGACCGGTCACCTATAAAGTATAATTTGATGCCGGTATAATATCCGTGATTTTTTTCTTCCTGTAATTAGTACGGCAAACAATTGTGATTTTTATATGTTCAATATTTGTTCATGTGATATATGAAATACTTCTAATGATCATATGCGACTTGATGAACGTACTAAATCATATTCTTCGTCGTCATCGTACATGCATTCATCGTCAGACATATTTTTTTTTCATTGAGTTTTATAAACATCAGAACAATCTGATAACGGAACGCACTTTCCGGGATATAATAATGACCCTATGATTAACTCCCTTTCTCTCTACTCCTAGTTTGTTTTTATTTAATTTCTAATCAATATTTAAGTAAAACTTAATTTATGAAATTATAGAACATTTTTTTTTCAACAAAATCAAACATTTAATTAGATGTTAAGACCTATTCCATATTTGTTTTGCAAATAAAGCATAAACAGTACACTTTTTGATAAATTTTTGTAATACGTTGTAAATTATTTTGTAAATTACTATTATATCACGCATATGGACAATTGCTCAAATGCAATTGGAAGCTGAATTTTGAATGACTATTGAAAAGTAGTCAGTATTAAAGGGAAGCCCAAATAGAGATGATGAAAGGGATAATGAATGACTACGGCTCAAATTTTGGAATGGCAAAATCTAGGACTGCAGAAACACTGTTAGAATTGACAAGCGTCGCATCCTGGGTCACTGCTCTATCACTACCAAATTACAACTATTGCCACCTGCGTAGTTTGAGATACGAACGTGGAGGATAACGAATTGACCGGTGGGTTAAATTTTAACTTCGTTTGTACACTGTGTACATTATTTTTAACCGCAAATTGATGACCCATAAAAGTTTTATGACTATATTAATAAATGCATCCATCTGATCGAACTAGACTGAAATTGATAAAGGACACAACAGATAAAGTAAAGTCTGTCTCATGTCTTGACTTACACATAGAAATTGACAACAAGGGTAGGTTGAGTACTAAACATTCCTATTGTGAACTTTCCATTTCTATATAGGATCATTTCAGTAGCGCCTGCAGATTGAATAGTATATATCTCCCAATCAGTGACACGATTTCCTTGATAGATGGAAGCTACTAACAAAATAGTGATTTAACAAATGGTTCCGTTGACAGTTTTACGGAACTTGACACATCATAAGTTCGTTGATCGTTATCGAATACCTGTGTCACAGATGACCAAGAATATGTTCCAATTATCGTAGACACAATCATGGATTGTGACAAAACCGAACAAGATTTATCACCGAATTTGTACTTGCCACGAGCAGCACGACGAGCACCTGTTAAAAAAATGTTCAAAAGCTTTATTTATAGACGAGATCATTATACAGAAAACATAAGCTCTATTGAGCTTTTATATCGTCCTATTACAAACAAAACATATAAAACGTGCACGTTTAAAACAAAGCAAGCATGCTACACACACAAAATCTACACAAAGCAAATCATTACAATGAAACATACATATACAGTATACATGACATGCAGAAATACTAAAAGTACAATAAGCAACTCAATATTAAAAACATACAAAGCACTTTAAAACACATAAGCAATTACAGCACATTACGCAGAAAAAAGCACTAAAAATTAAAGCATTAATTATTTGCAGGCATTGCATTGACATGTACTACCATTCCAGGTAACAATAAGTTTAGAAAATTGTTTAAAATTGTTTTCATCTCTAAAACTCTGGGGTAGTTCATTCCAAAATTTTGGCACTGTGTATCTAAAAGAATTGATGCCATAACTTGTTGTTCTCACCTGGGGCTGTTCAACTGTATTTTTATATCTGAAGGAATATTTGTGATTTCAGTTTATATTAATCAAATCATGTAAATAAGACGGACTCTTTTTGTGTATAATTTTAAAAGTTTCTATAGCTATTGCTCGTAATCTTCTGACTTTAAGAGATGGAAGTTTTTACTTGTGTAAAAGATTTTCATACGAGCTATTATAATCTCAAGGCTCTCTCTTGGATTTTTTCCATCTTAACTGTGTTTTTTTTTCTCACTACAAACATGCCATGTGACCGATTGTGTCACGTCTTACCGATTGTGTCATTCACGTCTTACCGATTTGGATATCTGTAGTCTAGACTACTGTTTCCTATATCTATTCCCGATTGTGCCATTTTGATTGACTGGATTCGCATGGTGGGTGATGCACGAATAGCAGCAGACGCTTACTCTGTTGACGCATCCGGTCTCGCTCCTGGTTTCTTTCCTGTAATGATAAATGATTTGACCAATATAGAAGATGCAGCCTCATATCATATCAAAGTGTGTAATCACTCAAAAACCAACTTAACTTAAGTGAAACTATGTTCGTAAAGTGCACCAAATTGAATGACTGGCTTAATACTTGCGTAGTTGCTCTTTCGCCATTTCGTTCATGTATAGTCCCGATCGTCAATATAGCTAACTCTGGTTTAAAGTTTTACCATCGAGACTTTTCCGTTGGGTAATGCATTTCAAAGGGACTAAGTATATTTTAGAATTTTTATAGATTTTGATTCCTCGCTATACAAAAACGACGTATTTACCTAGCTAGGAAATGAATAGTCGTAGCTCTGGACTCGTTTGTCAGTACCTTCAACACTGGTAAAAAATTAGATTTTTTGTAATTTAATAGGGACTTTACAACGTATTGACGAATTTCGAATAGGCGACATAGTGATTTTGTTTTAGAATTTTGATCCCTCGCTGTGATAAACTGACTGCCCATTTACCAAGCCGAGGAATCGGGTAGTGCATAGCTCTAGTTCTATTCAACAATAGCATCGATTTTCATTGAAAGCTTTGTCATAGAAACTTTAGCAAGGTGCATTTACCCAACCGGGTCGTGAGCAAAAAATGTGTGTAACCGTGGTCTCGTTCGCCGATACCTCAATCAGTCGTTATAAGCTTTATTTGTAGTAGTGATTATTTCATGAGGTCGGTACTTTCTTAAGAAAGTAAGTATATTTAATTATGGTGTTTTGGATATTGCATTTGAATGGGGATATATGGTTGGAACCCCCCCCCTTTTATACTGGGTTTCAAGGGCATGATATATTTGAGAATTTTGAGAGATTTTCCTCCCTCGTCGTATATGTGTTGTGCATAGTCCATTTCAACGATATTACTGTCGCTCTTTTAAAAGATTTGCTCTATTACAGTGAGATATTTTATCGAGGAACGAGACAAGAGCTATGTTCTTTACGATTCTTCAGCTGGATTAATGCTCTGTGTGGAAGCACATATCAGATTATCATAAACTGATATGTAGCCCCTTGGAATTCGTCACCCCGCTAAAGTCCTTACACCAATGCATTTCTGAATGAACGGGGGTGATATTGATGGACAGAACCATAGCAAAAAAACGATCAGATTCGTTATCTCATTAAAATTTTCTTCTTGGCGAGGGAGCAAAATCTGAGAAAATACTCATACAATCTTATCCCTTTAGGAAACCGTTCACCCGTGCAATAGTCCATGCAGACGGAAAAATAGGTCTCAACTAACGTGTGAGATATCAACGAAGAGACGAGAACTATGCAGTACCTGAATTCAGAGCTAGGTAATGGACCATTTTCGTACAGAGATCGGTAAAAAATCTTAAGTAAATCCTCGAACGTTTGCAACTTTGGAATTCGTCCATCATGGTAAAGCCATACGACAAGACTTCAACGAGCTTGGACAATATCGACGCACTTTCCGATTCCTTAGCTGGGTATACTTTTAACATAAAACGTCACTACAGACAAGGGCATAGCGAACGAGTTGGTGGAAAATATACACTTAATTTCGACTTTAATTCTTAATTGACTAGGATAATGGCAAGCCGTTTTACTATTTATTCTAACTTCAAGATATCTCATATAATATATAAGATATCTCATATAATATTTAAGATATCTCATATAATATATAAGATATCTCATATAATATATAAGATATCTCATATATACGATAGCTTATGTAATCTAGTTTTTATAAGATATTTTATATACTTTATGAGATTTCTTATAAACTTTATGAGAATCTTATATACTTTATAAGATATCTTCTAATGTTTATAAGATATCTTATAAAGTATATAAGATATCTTATAAATATTTTTTATACAAGATATCTTATAAATATTTTTTATACAAGATATCTTATATACTTTATAAGATATCTCATATAGTTTTTTTATAAGATATCTTATAAACTTTAGAAGATATCTTATATAATTTATAATATATCTTATATAATTTATAAGATATCTGATATCTTATATAATTTATAAGATATCCTATAAAGAAAATTATATGAGATATCTTATAAACTATATAAGATATCTTATAAAAAACTATATGAGATATCTTATAAAGTATATAAGATATCTTGTATAAAAAATATTTATAAGATATCTTATATACTTTATAAGATATCTTATATACTTTATAAGATATCTTATATACTTTATAAGATATCTTATAAACTTTAGAAGATATCTTATAAAGTATATAAGATTCTCATAAAGTTTATAAGAAATCTCATAAAGTATATAAAATATCTTATAAAAACTAGATTACATAAGCTATCGTATATATGAGATATCTTATATATTATATGAGATATCTTATATATTATATGAGATATCTTAAATATTATATGAGATATCTTATATATTATATGAGATATCTTGAAGTTAGAATAAATAGTAAAACGGCTTGCCATTATCTTATAAACTATATAAGATATCTTATAAACTATATGAGATATCTTATAAATTATTAGATATCTTGAAGTTAGAATAAATAGTAAAACAGCTTGACGTATAGGATTGTCAGTTTTCCTGTCGAGGGTCGGTAGTTGTCTTCGGGCACCCTGGCTTCCTCCACCAATAAAAACTGACCGCCACGAAAAAACCAGTAGTGCTGAAAGTGGCGTAAACAACAACCAATCAAGCAAATAAGTCCCTATGGAATAGCTTTAAAACGAGCGTTGGTGATGTTGACGAACGAGACCAGAGTTATGCATACTCCGTTCCCTCAGCTTGGTAGGTTCACCACTTTCTCAATTTGTTGAGGTGGCTTCTTCTTTCTATATGAGCTTCATTTATAAGAAACACCATGGATAAATCCAAGTAGAATGTGTATCTATGTACACTGTAAAAGTTTTTTTCACTCGGTAAAAGGTAAAATCCAGTTAATACACACACTTTCTTATATACACACAAATTACGATATATATATATACATATGTATATACAGAATACGATACCTAAATTTCAAATGCCTTTCGCTTATATGTGTTGGTCTAATTTAAAAAAAAAATTTGCATTAGACCGTCAACCACCCATTGCCTCAAGCATTTTCAAGCATTTGGTGTGAAGCCTGTAGCAAAGTTCCTAGTCCTATAATATAAGACTTCGGAGTTTCATATCATTTACATTCAGGCAACGTTTTTTATCGGATATTTTTTTTTACTATCAATGTTGAAACGGGTTTGTTTCAACATTGATAGTAAAAAAAAATATCCGATAAAAAACGTTGAATGTAAATGATATGAAACTCCAAAGTCTTATATTATAGGACTAGTAAAGTTCCCTAGTAGATGCTTCTCAGATTTGTATCAATCAGATTGGTGTCAGTGAAAAGATGAGTAAAGTGTCTACAGTCTATAATAAGCCTGATTATGTCCAGTTTTTTTTTTAATAATCCATGGCAGGTTTTGGCAACAGTGTTTTGTATTATTCCATCATTGATCGGTTCGAAATAAGTTGTACGAGTTTTCGAGTTTTCGGTGGCAAATCCGGATTCTGCTGTACTATCCGGTTTTGATTCAGTTTTACACTATTTCCGTTTCAGACACAGACGTTTGGCAAGACTATGGTAATATCCTAATATTTTCACTGTTTTAGTGTTTTCGTACACTTTTAAGTACGAGGATCTATTCAAAGTAAAGAAAATTATAACATACTTCGTTTTGTGTTAATTGATAACAATGCAAAATGTGTAACTCTTTATAATATTGAAACTTCGAAGGATCTTTCTGTTGGTGACTGAATTTAATTTTGGAAATGTCACATACTTTATGAAATGTCTCCAAGATGATTGATTCCGCCTTACATGAGGGGTTGTTTTGAAGTCATGAAAAATGTATAAATATATTTATTTTTAGTATTGAACATACTTTTGCCAACTTTTTCTATGTACGTGTTGTATGCATATTTTTCACCCTTTGGCTCGGTATCCTTCATCACCTGTTCCATGCATGTGTCAGTTACTTGTTATCTTAAAAGTACAGATTCTTGTCATATTCAGTCCTCCTTCTGGTTCTGATCCCATTACTGGCATTAGTGGTTAGTGAAAAATTGCATTTGACGTCTGATGAAACTTGATAGAATTAGAATAAACAATCTATGACTATCGATTTTGAAAAGGTCTATGATGTTTATAAAGGAAAAACAATGTCACAAATTGATTTGTCGTCATATTTATAACAGTTTACTGATGTAACATATGTATACCTTCGAGAATTTAAATCATTTCCAGGCAAAAACTTAACAGTCCCCCAGGCAAGGACGTCAAGTCTTTGGCAGTGTATCCCATTTCTACCCCCTGTATCAGTGAAATAAAAAAATTTCCCCAAACACAATTCTGATGTCAAATAAAATCGTGAATAAAATATTGAGACTTCTTGAAATCTTACAAGTACAAATTCATTTTAATGACCTAAACCCGATCAGACCCCCGCTCCACCCAGCTGGGTCATACATTGGACACCCTAGTTTTTAATGCACAATCAAGATTAATTATAGTATGTCTGCTGTTGAAGAAAAAAAAATCTTTTAAAATGATCATTTAAGATTGAAATTGATCTAAATAAGTTTGAGAATTTAGTTTTTTGTTATTAACCAATTATTGGCTCATAAATTAAAGGGCATGTTACATATACCAATGTATACTGGTTACAAATACATGTAGACAAATACATGTAGACATAGGTTACAAAACAATAATTGTAATGCTTATGATAATCTTGATAATATGGATTTAACTATAGCAGTTGTTTTTTATTGTAAAACATTTATAACAAATTAAAGCCACAGTGTTGCTATTAAAGCCTCCAGGAAAGTGAATATATATATTTATAATGCCCTATGAAAAGGCTGCTTATTTTTCCGGATTATGATCATGATGATAAATATAAATACATATATCAGTCAAAATGGGAGTAGAGTAGGTCATGGTTGAAAGATACAGAGAAGTGAAATTCAATGGTGTGTATGATATCCCTAGATTTCTCTGAACAAACCACCAATATGTGCATTACTGACTGAGTTATAAACTCGACAGTACTAGTGTAACCAACTTATTAGTACAAAAACAATGTATATTAAAAGTACATTTTAGTTAATTTTATTACACTGTAGTATAAAAACTAGTTGGGCCCGTAAAATTTCGACTGGGCCCTGAGAAAAAATATAATCAGCAGTTTAACCATGTCAAAGCTTTCACTTCGTTTCTTAAGAAATAAATTGTCTCCTTTTAATTTCTTTATATACAATGTAAATGAAAAATGAGAACAACAGGACAACATGATATTGCATTAGGCGGTTGAGATAAGCATTAAATGTATGTTAGTAAATGAATAACTTAAAATAAGGCTGATATTTTTATAAAAGTTTTCATGTTACAAATGCAGCTTACATGTATCTCAATAGTGTTGATAACATTCACAGTACCAATTTCAATGCACCATATACACATTTAGAAAATGTCTTTTCAGTGATGCTGAAATATTTAAAAATCTAAAACCTAATACGAACATTGAAGATCTGATAAAACCAAAAATGAATGTTTGTTGCTGAGTATTCCTGTTGAAAGTCAATCTGGTTCAAATGCAACATAAACTAATTATTTAAGTTTGAATTATGAAATAATTTTATGAACTTCAATGAATACTTGTATATAAGATTTAAAAAAACTAGTTTGTTGTTGAATTTTGATACCACCAGCATTCTTTTTGGTTGTTGTTTGTTGAATTTTGACCCAACATAGTTCTATTAGATGTTCTCAACCAATAATTCATTTGTAGACCATGGCCATGTTGACATGTTAGAAGTAAAAAAATATAGTACACATATATATAAATATACATGTGTACATGTAACTTGCAAATTGTGTACATTTCCTTTTGATTTCTGACTGTTATACATGTTAATCTTTTTGAAAACACTACAGATATCAATTTTCTATTTCAGATATTATAACATGAATAATTTTCATATTTTATTTTTTTAGGCCGACTTTTTAAAAGGTTTGCCGTCACATGATGAGAATAATTTCACCAAATATCACACAGATGCTAGTTGTAAATCTAGTGTAAGTTACTACAGTAGAATAATCATGATGTTGTTAAATGTTATTTTTATTATTTCCTATTGCAATGTATTGCAGTACCATTTAGTAGTGAAAGTGTCACTAAATTTTTGGTAGGATTGCTAATGAGACAACTATCCACAAAAGACAATATTAAATGAAGTGATGTAAGCAACTTCAAATGCACAAAGGTCACCATATTGCTAGGTGAGCCTTCAACAAAGAGCAAACCTATACCCTATAGTAAGCTATAAAGTCCCATACATTTTGTAGCTCTGGAATTTACAAACCAGAAAATGTTCAAAATCAAAAGCAGGTCTACATTCATCAAAGTTAACAACAGTTTTAAGTCTGTAGTAATTATGTTAAGTTTTGAGGAAAATTAATCCAAGCATACTAGAGGTAGTGCATGATATTTAAAAAATGCCTTTTATTTATCTGACTATCAAAGTCCTATAACTCTAGAATTACACATCAGATTTATTTTAATTCAAATGGTGTGATATGTTCACTAAATCCAAAATTTATGTACAGTTCAATCAAAGCAAAATCAAGTTATGATACAACATGTGAGATATTTACTTAAATCTGACAATTAAAGTCTGTATAAAATCTTGAAAAACAAACAAGAAAATTAAAAAAATGAAAAGAGATCTTCCATTTGTCAATCTCAACAATAATGTAAAGTTTTGTAAAGTACAAATTTTCTTTTGGCTTCTGTGCAGACTTCAACAAAACAACAAAATCAAAAATCCACGAAAAGTTTTCCTCAATCCACCAAAATTGGTACAAGTTCACGAATAATAATGAATCCACAGTATCAAATTTGTGTATTTCTTTACGGACAATAACTTAAGTTTAAGTTAATGGATCTCTATGAAATTTTTGAAGAAGGTTCAATACCACAAAAGGAAAGTTGGGATATTGGGGATGATGGTCCAAACCGTTTAGGAATTAGGGGCCTAAAAGGGCCCAAAACAAACATTTTTCTAGTTTCAGGATAATAACTTGTGTATAAGTATTTTGATTGCTCTGAAATTGTACAACAATGTTTAATACCACAAGTAGAAGGTTGGGATTCATATAAGGGGTTATAGGGCAAACAGTTTAGGAATTAAGGGCCTAAAAGGGGCCAAAAACGACAATTTTTGTAGTTTCCGGACAATAACTTGTGTGTAAGTGTATGGATCTCTCTGATATTGTACCATAAGGTTCCATTCCACAAAGGGAAGGCTGGGATTGAGTTTGGGGGTAATTGCCTCAAACATGTAGGAATTAGGGGCCAAAAACATGCATTATTCTATAGTTTCCAAACAGAACTTGTGTTAGATGTGAATGGATCTCTCTGAAATTGTACTACAAGGTTCCATACTACAAATGAAAGAATTGGACCGAGTCTTGGGGTAATTGCTCCAAGGGGGGATTCCAAAAGTCGCGGGGGGGGGGGGGGGGGGGGTTCCAATTTTTTTAAGGAGTTCATATTTTTTCAAAAATTTTCAAATTTCACATTTTGTAAAAGTTTCAAGAAGTAATCTTCAATTGCACAGTATTGCGCAATAGATTTGTAAGATCTTTTACCACATTTTTTTTGAGTCAGAAACCTATATTATGTCAAAAATTTGATCACAATCAAAATTCAGACAGTATCAAGCTTGAATATTATATCCAAATTTGCCCCAACTGTTCAGGGTTCGACCTCTGCGGTTGTATCAGGCTGTGCTCAGCGAAGCATTTAATTATCAATTAGTTTAATCGTGAAATTTTCCTAGCTGAAATAACATTGAATTTTATAGGTTTACAGAGTTCTTCTCACTTATTCATTGTTATTTTTAGTTTTTTCTTGATAGCTGAGAAATAATAAATTCATGTTTTTATGGCCCCGCAACAAAGTGGTCAGGGCCTTATAGTTTTACCTTTTAAATTATCCATCATTCTGCAATGTACAGTTATACAGACTTTTTTCTAAACACCTTCACATATCTGCATATTGGGCAGGTTTTTAGTATGTGATTCTACTATGATGAGTTACAGATCGAGTTTATGTTTGGTTCCGGCGGAATTTTCGCTCCATTGATTCTTGCCTAAATAACAGGCTTTGGACTTTGAAAATTATGTGAAAATAACAGTTATACAGACTCTTTTTCTAAATGCCTTCACATATTGAGCTAATTTTTAGTATGTGCGTCTACCATGATGAGTTATAGATCAAGTTTACGTTTGGTTTTGCTCTACTGATTTTGCCGAAATTACAGGCTTTGGACTGAAAATTTTGTGAAAATAAAAAACTATTTCATTTCAGATAAGAAAGCCTACAGTTTATATTTCAACAAAAGATTATCCTTCAGAACAAGGTAAAACATACATTAGAAACGAGGTGTTGCTTTAAATATTTACCATGTTGGTTTACATGTACAAATGAAATAAAAGTATTGTCAGACACCTTCTTCCTGTTTGCTGATACTTTTTATGCCCCCACCATAGCGGAGGGGGCATTAAGTTTAACCCTTGTCCGTCTGTACGTTCGTCCCAAAATTGGTTTCCGTTCTCTAATTTTAGTTTGCCTCAACCAAATATTATGACATGTATACACAATGCTAATTACCACAAAACACAGGTCAAGTTTGAATTTTGGTGGCGTTACTTTTACCGTTCTAGAGTTATACCCCTTTACAAATGAAAAATTGCTGAATTTTTCGTTTCCGTTCTCTAACTTAAGTTTGCCTCAACCAAATGTTATGAAACATATACACAATGCTCATTACCACAAAAAAAAACAGATCAAGTTTGAATTTTGGTTGAGTCACTTTTACCGTTCTAGAGTTATGCCCCTTTACAAATGGAAAAATTGCTAAATTTTTCGTTTCTGTTCTCTAACTTTAGTTTGCCTCAATGAAATGTTATGAAACTTATTCACAATGCTTATTACCACAAAACTCAGATCAAGTACAAATTTGGGTAGCGTCACTTTTACCCTTCTTGAGTTATGTCCCTTTATAACGTTATATGCAAGCAGGGCGTCATCTGTGTCCTATGGACACATTCCCCATTTATTTTAATATGTTGAATGAACTTCTAGCTTGACAGTGTTGAGTTGACATGTAAGCATTTTTCCAATCTGTCAGACACCTATATGTGCAAAATTAATGTACCTCCTGTTTTCCTTCAATACTTTGAATTATGAATTAGGGTACACTTCTTGTTTGATTAACAAAATGTGAATACTGGTAAAACAATTTGTTGGTTTATTACATGTCAAGAGGAGATCAAGCAACAACACAAAAAATCAAAAGAGATCTAGAAGTAAAATATTGTTCTTTACAGCTGTTATCATAATGCTAGCAAGTTAAAGGTTTGGTTGACTTGCTTGCTTTGTTTGTATAAATGTTTGCTCAAGCATTGTAATTAAGATTGTCATCTGGAAACAATATAAAACAGTGGAGTTAAACTTGTATATATTATACTTAAATTTGATTGGACATTATCAAATAATCAAATTTATCTATATACAGGTTTAACTCCGTCTACTTATATTGTTTGCAGATATCAATCTTAATTACAATGCTTGAGCAAACATTAATACAAACAAAGCAAGCAAGCCAACCAAACCTTTAACTTGCTAGCATTAGGATAACAGCTGTAACAGTAGACAATTGCCTATAGAGTATATCAAACTCTAAATTGCCCCAGAGTTAAAAAGTTTAGAATAAATTTAGCAAAGACTTTTGTACACACTATTTTCTTTGGGATTGCAAAGTCTTATGGTTGCCAATAAAAAAAAATTAACATCAACTCTCTAGAAGTTAATATGAAGTACATTATTATGTGTTTGTTTGTCCTTTACAGTAATAACAACTGAAAAAACAAATATACTTCTTCGATACCTACACCAGCAATGGGACAAAAAGGTAAGTAAAATGTAAATCTCCTTAGATTACAGATACATTGTACAAGATTCTTCAATAAAGTAGGAGAATTAGTAAGACTCCACTGGGGTTGTTTATCATAGTCAGAAAAATTACCAATCAAACATGACAAAGTATTATATTCAAAATTGTGATTTCTGTTTAGCAAGGAACAATTGGTATTCTTGCTGTAGAGAATTACATATTTATGGAAATTGTTCTATAGAATGCACTGTCAACAATATCAATGTAAGATGACTATTTACTCTCATTCTATGAATAGAATATAGAAACATTATTTATTGAAACAAAACTTTAATCATTTTTGTCACAAAGCTGCAGCACATGTAAAAGAATCGCTTCAATTTATCAGGTCTTGTTATCTATCATTTCCATAAGTCTGATTCTCTCAAAGATGCTAAGTGTTACTCAGAGTCAGTCAACAAGTGAGTTATGGAGGATTTAGTTTCTGTTAGTTTGTGTTGTTGATCTGCTATAATGTATACATTAAAAATGTACATGTGTTGATTTGCATTTATCAATTTCCTCCTTTCATATGCAAACAGAAGTTGCATAGAATGTGCAGTAAACTTTAAAATTGGGAGAATTATCCTGTAATTCAATGCATTTTTGTCTTGCCTGTCGCAGAGGCCACAATGGCGTACACTATTTGTATAAATCTTAATATTTCAGAAGGTAGAAGACCTAGATGCTTCTTACCTTGTATGTAGATGCCTGCTGTTTTAAAAGAAGTTTCCATCTGTCATGTCCATTGTCCTTATGGTTCATAGACTTCTTAAAAAAACTATTGTTTTTTGTCCTGTGAATATTTCATTTCACTTTCTCATCATGAGTTAGTTTTTTTTATGTGTAGTATATGGGAGTCCTTTCATGGTCTACACATCTGTCAGGCAGAGTTTGCCTGACCTTGAATCTCATTTCAGGAATCATTAATTATGAAGGTTAAGGTTTTGTGAGTTGGTCTATTTCTCAGATACTATAAGCAATAGGTCAACTATATTTAGTGTATGGAATGATTGTAAGTACTTAGGGTACATGTCTGTCTGGCATGGTTCATCTGGACTTGACCTCATTAACATGGATCATTTACAATGTTTTTGTGATACATGTACCAAAAAAATGTAGTAAAACCTTTATCATGAAAACTTTTAACATATATATCCAATCATGATCAGTAAAGCTAACAGGACATTTCAGCAAGTGCACTGTTGTATAAAAAATTCATAGAAAAATGGTCACAAAGTATTTTCATTTCTGATTAATGAGCCACATTTATTTTATTTATTGAGTAGGAATTTATGTATTTTACAAAATCCTGTCATTCTAAATACTATGGTTACACTGAATTGATAGATACATTGATATTGAGAAAGTTTACAAACGACAAACACTATTACATGACCTAAAAAAGTGCTTGATAGAATTAAAGGAAAAGACCAAGACTTTTAAAATGGAAATTTAGAACATACAAGATTTAATAAACACATGTATGTGAATATCATTCCAAAGATTTAGAGTACATAGTTTTTCACCTTGAATACAAGTAAAAACAACTGTAAATTGTTTCTAGGTTTAAACAAAACGATGTTGATGTTTTAAGATGTTGAGAATGGATTTCAATGGAAGGAAAATATTTATTTAGTAACAAAAGTTATTGTAGAGTTTCCATATTGTTTTGTAGAATTCCAATAAAAAGAGAGATTCCAGTAAAGCCAGTTTAGATAGTTCGGAAACCTCATCAAAAATGCCAAGACTAGGTGACGATGATGCATCATAATTACTGTTTATTTTATGTAAATTGTGTTCAAATGGTGATTTCTACTGAATGTACGGAAGTTTTAAAGGTGCTGAAGATGGATAAGTGTTGTCAAGTGGATGAATTCCTAGGAATATTGAGACAATACTGATTATTGAACTTTCATTGTAAAAAATTATCAAAACATTATGTGATAAAATACACATAAGGCTATTTTAGAGTGAGTGATGAGGGCTGTTCCAGAATAAAATGCAAGGGGCATGGGAGGCACCTTTTGAAGTCCTCAACCACTAATAATATAAATTTTTATTAAACTTATAATAATTCATACAAAATTCTAAGGGAAATGCACATTAATTTGATTTCCTGCATCTTCCCCACCAAATTTGATTTTGGAACAGCCCTAGCAATGATACCTGTTGATTCACTGTGAAATATATCTCTATAAATGTAATAAATAAATACCAATAAAAGGGTTGTAAACAACAATCACTTTTTAATTGTCAATTAATCAACACCATTACACGTATTGATGTAGAACTGATTTAATAACTGAAATACTTTCTATGTATTGTATATGTACTTTTCCTCAACTTTGGAAGTTATATGTATTGTATATGTACTTTTCCTCAACTTTGGAAGTTATATGTATTGTATATGTACTTTTCCTCAACTTTGGAAGTTATATGTATTGTATATGTATTTTTTCCTCAACTTTGGTAGTTATAAAAAGCTGAAAAAAATTAACACAATTGTTCAAAGTCGAAATCCCACACTATGATATGATAAATAAAACATTTTGTCTACATACCCTAGATACTTTTAAGAGAATGTAATAGGAACCACATGTATATTTTATTTTGGCATTGAAAAAATTTAACATTGGAGAGTTGTCTCATTGGCACTCATACCACATCTTCTTATATCTATTGAATGAGACCACCTGTAATTAAATGTACACAATTTATTTCAATTTTCTCTATGTAGCAGTAAGATGACATTAATTTTATGATTTTCATTGCAATGATTATGTAAGAATGTCTGTTGAGCAATAGATGTTTATGGTGACCTCATATTTTATTTTTTTTTAAACGGAAAGTCTTATTGAAACTGTATTATTGAAAATGGTGGTTTGCATTAAACCCTTTATTGATGAAAAAAAAGAAAACAAATTTTTATAGTTGAATTCAAAACTAAGACTAATTTTAAGCATCAAATTGAATAGAGTTAATGGTACACTATAAATGGTTAAACATTATATATATGAATATTGTCAGAAAAAAATCAAATACATGAATTACCTCCCAAGGCCAAGTATAGTTGGTTGTGTGTCTTTAGAATGGAGATTGAAGTACTTTTGAATAATTACATTACTTGTATGTTTCATGAGAATCCGTTAGTTTGATTGGGTAACAACAATCATGCATCATTCAAAAATTAACCTTCATATCAAAATGAAATGTTACATTCGTGATGACACGTGCTTCTACAAAAAAGTGCACAGGTAAATAAAAGAAAAACTTGATAAAACTTTTTTGTATGGTCTAATTAGCATAAAAATCGTGCACACATTTTTAGAATGAAGCGCTTCTGCACTTCATACAAAATGTGCTTCGATCAACGCTTTTACAACCCAATAAAATTACAAAAAAAAGCATTCATTTCTTAATTGAACCAATGGTTCTATAGAAATGGTAAAAAATTATCATATTAGTATTATATAAACTTCAATTTGAATAAAACAAGAAAAATAAACTTTTATGATAGTGCTTTAGATGTTGTGTTTAAACTTTTAATTATAGTGTATATATTGTATATTTTATGTAATATTGTATATATAGTATCACAATAATAGAATTGGTTGGTAAGAATGAAGTTAGGTGTATTTATACATGTGTCATATGATAATGGTGATATAACAGTTAGTTATGTTTTATTTATGTTAGAGGAATAACATATTTTAAAAATTTTGTATTTAAAGTACAACTTCTATACATGTACATGTAGTTAACATTTTGTCATATCATCAAATTAGTTTCTCAATTTTTAGTATAAGTAATTTCAATCTGAATCTGAATATTGTGTCTCAGTGCAAATGTATTAATTAATACCTACTCTGATAAATTAAGTCCAGTAAATGTATTATTACTGGGTACATTGTGATTTTTCCAAACTAATTGACAAAGTGCAGAAATAAGCTTTCACGTTCCCTACTTTTTAAAATTTAATGAAATGATTTTTTTTGTATAAAATAAGATAAATTTCTTAGTTATGAATATCAATAAAGCATAATAGGTTGGCAGCTGCTTCTTTATAAACGAAAAAATGTATAAATAAATTTGCCATTTTCACATTTTGTCTTGAATAAAATTGAAAGAACTAAAAATTACATCTCCAACCAATTTTTGGAACAGAATTTAAAGGATTTTGAAAATAGTTAGGAAGGTTTAAGTGCACATTTTCTTTAGTAGTTTGGGACTTTCCCAAAAAAAAAACATCAACTAGAATTTCAACTTTTTTGTTGTGAAATTTATGTGAAGATGTGTTGGAATTGATAACCAAGTAATTTCTTCAGTTTTTCACACCAAATTTTGGGAACTTCAAATGATATTATGTTATGCTAGCTAGGTTGTGTATTGAATTTTTTCACTATAGTGATGTTAAGCCCAACAATTATAACACAATATAAAACCTCATTAAATGTCCTTCCTGTCTCCTGTAAGTTTTATCCCAAATCTTCAGTAGTAATATTCATACCATAATGATACTAACTATATGCTGCTACTTAAAGTAGCTGAGAAAGTCCTAAGTTGTCCTATAAATTCTGATGTACATTCTGACCACTAGAGCAGTTATAGTACTGTATAAATACTGTAAACAACTTGTTTTAACTGTCAGAAGAAATAATTGTTTTGATCTATAAGCCAAAGAAATGATTGTTTTGTTCTATAAACTGAAGAAAAATTCACATTTAAACACACTAATATAGTTTACATTATAGTTTTACTAGTAAATTATATCAAATACATATTACTCCTTTAAAATGCTAATAAAGTACTCCGAAACAGAACTGTGTACTACTTAGTCCAGTAAATGACAATTTTTTTTTAAATAACAGCATGTAATACTGGTACACAAATATTCAGCATGGTGAGTAATTTTTTTTATGCCCCCGCCTTAGCAGAGGCGGCATTAAGTTTTACCCTTGTCCGTCTGTACGGTCGTACGTCCCAAAATTGGTTTCTGTTCTCTAACTTGAGTTTGCCTCAACCAAAGGTTATGAAACTTATACACAATGCTAATTACCACATCAACTTTGAATTTTGGTAGCATCACTCTAACCGTTCTAGAGTTATGCCCCTTTATAAATTGAAAAATTACAAAATTTTTAGTTTCCATTCTCTAACTTAAGTTTGCCTCAACCAAATGTTATGAAACTTATACACAATGCTTATTACCACAAAATACAGATCAAAATTGAATTTTGGTAGTGTCACTCTAACCGTTCTAGAGTTATGTCCCTTCATAATTGGAAAAATAGCAAAATTTTTAGTTTCCGTTCTCTAACTTAAGTTTGCCTCAACCAAATGTAATGAAACATATACACAATGCTTATTACCACAAAATAAAGATCAAGTTTGAATTTTGGTGGGGTCACTTTAACCATTCTCGAGTTATTCCCCTTTATAAATGGAAAAATTGCAAAATGTTTTGTTTCCGTTCTCTAACTTGAGTTTGCCTCAACCAAATTTTATGAAACATATACACAATGCTTATTACCACAAAATAAAGATCAAGTTTGAATTTTGGTGGGGTCACTTTAACCATTCTCGAGTTATGCCCCTTTATAAATGGGAAAAAATGCATTATTTTTAGTTTCCGTTCTCTTACTTAAGTTGCCTCAACCAAATGTTATGAAACTTATACACAATGCTTATTACCACAAAACACAGATCAAGTTGAATTTTGGTAGCGTCACTTTAATCATTATCGAGTTATGCCCCTTTATAAATTGAAAAATTGCAAAATTTTTAGTTTCCGTTCTGTAACTTAAGTTTGCCCCAACCAAACATTATGAAACCTATACACAATACTTATTACCTTAAAACTCAGATCAAGTACAAATTTGGGTAGCGTCACTTTTATTGTTCTTGAGTTATGTCCCTTTATAATGTTGTATGCAAGCGGGGGCATCGTCTGTGTCCATGGGGAAACATTCTCCATTTATTAAATGATGAAATGCTTTTTTATTTCAAGAGTTATTTTATATAAAGGTATATATGAAATCCATGAAATACTATGTTATGTATTTGTATCAATGAAACAGGAAACTCGTATAAAATATGCAAGGTAATGAAGTACATCTCAATTTGAATAAAGTTTAATAACATTAAGGTTCCTAGTTTTGGTTTATAACTTAATAGAATGGAAAAAAATTGGCTTGAAAAGTAAATAAGATTAAGGTTGTTCTTTTAAGAAATTTAACTCCAATATGAGCTTCTACATAACAGTTTCATTGCAGATATTTTTTTGTAATGAGAACAAAAAGTTTGGACACAAATTTGAAAGTGTACAACTGAAGAAAATTGATGTAATAAACTGCAATTTTTAGTCCATCTAATAAAAGTAGTGTAATTATATGATATTGTTTAGTGATGTACCTGTTTTATCAACTGATTGTTAAAACAAAATTTTCAATCATTATTGTTATTGTTTCATATATATGTTCAATGAGGAGAGTAATTGTTGTGGAATTAGTGGATGGCTTTTGTATGCAAAGCAGGAAAGCTTTACTTCTGGTAGCATGACATACATGTATATAATTCAATAAAAATGTTAACACTTTTTTAATCATTTGTTTTTGTCTTTATTATATATAAATGAAATAAAATGCTAGATATGCTTCAATGAGACAGCAACTCAAAGACTCAAATGACCAAAATACGTCTAGAGGGTAACATATAGTCTTAAACAAAATACATGTTTCTCTAATTTTCATGCTTTTTTCACATTTCTCGATTAGTGTGAGAAAAAAATTTCTTATCTCTAGAGAAAACTTTGTTCTCAGTAAATGATTGGTCTAAATTTAATTATGACTTCAAATTTTCTTGGATTCTTCTGAATTTCCTATTGTGAAGTCGTGAAAAAAGGCGAACAGGCCTGATGACGTCACATAAAAAGAGCACAACTTTCTGCAAATCTTTGAAAAGGAAGGATAAACTTTGTTTAGACATCATCTAAAAATCATTAGTGAAACATGAAACATATTCCCCCAATATAACTTGTTTCTAACGATATTTCTCGACCCTCAACAGTTAAATTTTAATTATTTAAAAAGCTCTGCAGGCCCATTAAAATTTAACTGTCTCGAGTGGAGAAATATCGTAACACACTTGATGCAGTGGTGGAATCTATATGTCTATAACAGATGTGGTGGAATCTATATGTCTATAACAAATGTGGTGGAATCTATGTGTCTATAACAGATGTGGTGGAATCTATATGTCTATAACAGATGTGGTGGAATCTATATGTCTATAACAAATGTGGTGGAATCTATGTGTCTATAACAAATGTGGTGGAATCTATATGTCTATAACAGATGTGGTGGAATCTATATGTCTATAACAGATGTGGTGGAATCTATATGTCTATAACAGATGTGATGGAATCTATATGTCTATAACAAATGTGGTGGAATCTATGTGTCTATAACAGATGTGGTGGAATCTATATGTCTATAACAAATGTGGTGGAATCTATGTGTCTATAACAGATGTGGTGGAATCTATATGTCTATAACAGATGTGGTGGAATCTATATGTCTAAAACAAATGTGGTGGAATCTATGTGTCTATAACAGATGTGGTGGAATCTATGTGTCTATAACAGATGTCACGCTCTGAATCTTACAGAGTTTAAAACATTTCTCTAAATTACAATACTTCATTCAAATATGACATGGGACAAACACTTGTAAGTTTTCTGATTTAAATCTGGTACCGGCAAGGAATAGTAAAGTTGTGAGTGATTGTATTTGGTTTATTGTATTGGATGCATTTCTGTAGGATTAAACCGTTAGGAGGAATAGGTGATGTGATAAATAATGTTGAAAGTACAAAGTATGTTTTGCTTATGATTGAGAGGTATACAGTAAGAATTGCTACATAAGCCAAAGTTGTGAAATAAATCACGGAAAATAAGTTGTAACCTGGTTGTGACAGACAGTCTCATTGTCCTTCACTGTCAATCTCTAGCTTCTACTAGAATAAATGGTATGGTATCACTAATAAAAACGGGATGTGGGTAATCATCTTAATACAGCTAGCCAACACACGAAGCAAACTAGACAAAGTGATGCCACCGCACTCCAACTATTGTAACAAAATCAATGTAGGACTTTCTTTGATATAATTGTGTCTGGGAGACACAAATGATGCCCCTGCAGATGCAAAATGTTATTTTAAAATTTACAAAGTTGAGCATGGGAGCACATAGCTCTATGGTTCACTGTAGGAGGAGTTATCTGGAAACACTATGCACCTCTTATGCAAGTAAATACTCCAACAATGACAAAGTTCAACTATCTCCTAAAAGAGCAAATATTATTAAAAATCAAAGCCCTGACCACATGCACACCTTCAATATATGAAGAAACAGCCAGCAAAGTGAAAAGTTCCTAGCATCCAAACTGTAAGAGAAGTTATCCGGAAATGCTAGTCTATGCACCTCTTATGCAAGTAAATACTCCAAAAATGACAAAGTTCAACTATCTCCGAAAAAGAGCAAATATTAATAAAAATCAAAACCCTGACCATATAAACACCTTCAATATATGTACAAACAGCCAGCAAAGTGAAAACTTCATAGCATATAAACTGTAAGAGGAGTTATCTGGAATAACTATATGGGACGGAAGGACGGACAGACGGACGGACGGACAGGGATAAAACAATAACTTTTAGTTGCGGGGGCATAAAAACCCTTAACATGATCTAGGCCTCAACAGAGGACGATTACTGTACAGCAAGTTATTTATTTGTGTATAAATTAAAAGAAACAACCAAACATCTGACGTCAACACCATATTTTAAAGCAAACATCCCCACTCCCACCAAATTTTTAAAAAGGGCTCTATAAGTAATATCACCGTAAACATGTTATTATCCCATTTGTAATAAGGTTTCCTACATGTACATCCAAAACTTTCAAACCAATATTTGAGTCTATGCAAGATTTAACTAAATTACTTGTGTAAACGGAATCTCTGACTCAATAATCGACAAGTTATACAAAAACACTTTAATTCATTGAAAGTTCAAACCTTAAACGTCACAACAAACACGAGCATTGCGACACACTTTGAAATGTCCACACCGTAAGAAGGGGCAAAAAGAACATCATCGTCCGAAAAAAAGAAAAAATAACCATAGGGAATAGTCTTGTCGTAAATTGATGTTTCGATTTTCTTGTGTGAAGTACTTTTCATAGTTATTTTGCAAAGGGCATGTCCGCGTGAACAGTCTCTGGCCGTTTCCTCTTATTAAACAACACACGGGAATTTACCAAAAACAACATATTCATGAAAATTTTCAAAACATTTGGGTTTTATAAATGACAAAATATAAAGTGAAAAAGTTGCCATATAGAACGAAGTTTTTAAAATTTTTATTCATCGATTGAAATTAGTTCAGTTTAAGAAACAATATCTGTCATTGAAAAACCATTCAATCTTCATAGACATTCCTGTAACAAAAAAAAAGTGTTATCGTTCCTCACGTTATGACGCCATTTTAAGCATCTTTTAACATGTATTTGTGTGCGTTTTTGGTCTTAATCCTCTCATCAATTATGCATATACAAAAAAATAATTAACGTACCATGTTTTGATTTGTTTTGGCGCCAAAACATATTTAACGCATTGATCGTTTCAAAGCGTTTCATATAATAGTGTCGAAGGACAATCTATGTAGCTGTCTTTAACTTTTTATTTTTTTAAATGTATATGAAAACCAACATTAAAGTGGTAACCCAGAGAACACGAAAAAGAATATTTTTGTAGTTTATAAATCCCAGTGACGAGTTTGATTTCAAACAGGCATATTTCAACCCCGCCGCATTTTAGCACCTGTCCTAAGTCCGGAACCTCTAGCCTTTGTCTTGTATGTTTTTAATCTTGGTTCATTTGTATGTTTCGGAGTTTCGTGTGGCGTCCACTTTGCTGAACTAGTATACATTATTGTTTAGGGGCCAGCAGAAACCCGCCTCCGGGTGCTTGATTTTCTCGCTGCGTTGAAGTCTAATTGCAGTTTTCTGCTCCGAGTTGGTCGTGTTGTCTCTTTGGCACACCCCCTTTTCCATTCTCTATTATATACTGAGTGAGATTGACATAACAAACATCTTTTCCGAAGATTTCCCCAAGTAAAAAGTCATTACAACAGATAATATACACTGCTACTTTTGCATAGGTACTATTTCTGTACTAAAAATCTGTAGTACTGGAAATAACTAGTCACTTTGCAATTACTTTTCTCATTTTAAGGTCAAACAAATGTATTTTTTTTAGGGGGAGAGGATGAGGCTTGGTGGCCAAGTGGTCTACTAAGTAGTTCATTTACTCATTTTACTGTATCTCTAGCCTTTCAACACTGAGGTTGCGAGTTCAAACCCCGCACGTAGCATGGGAGTTCGACTCTAATCCTTATTGACTATAATTGCTAGTTTTCCTGTCAAAGGTTGGTTGTTCTCTCCGGGCACTCCAGTTTCCTCCACCAATAAAAGCTGGCCGCAACGATAAAGCCAATAGTGCTGAAAGTGGCGTTAAACATCAAATAATCAACCAATCAATCATTTTTTTTTCGCATCGTCACAATGTAAGTTTTAAAATTGTTTTTTCTTATTGGCTCTTCTTCCTTTGTTTTCGGTTAGGTTTAATAGACTTTTTGTAGAAGTTTGTACAATTAATCTTTTTTACTATCATTAATGCCTCCATATGGTTTTTAACCACAGAGATTGCCTTCGGTATAGAAACATGGTCAGTTAGCTGAAATTCTCCCATACGATAGCAAAAAAAAGCATTTACATTTACAAGGGTGTTTCATTTTGACTGTGTGGTATGTATAAATATACAGCCACACCTCTCAGGAATAGGAACGTTTTAAAATGTTGCAATAATTCGATCTTTAAGGGTTTTTTTTAGGGCTGCTGTATGGGAAATTTGGTTTATTGTCAATTTGCTACTGGAAGTTAACCAACCAATCAATTAGTTTTTAACTTTTGAATTACAAGTATAGCTGTCATTTTTCCATCTAAACTTACAACTGAAAACTCGCACACATACAGCTCATCTTCGTCACAATCATCAGCATCCCAGAACCAACCATATATATCATACCAAACTCCATCTTCATAAACCCATTCATCATTAAACTCCATTTCTACACATCTGCCACGGTTCGATCCTTCTTCTATAAGTAGATCCGTGTTGAGATATAATTGGGGAAAACGAATCCCATAACTAAGAAACAAGCTCAAAAAATAGACAGGTATAATAGAGTGAACACGATAACATGTGTCGCCTACTACTATATATATTTTTTAAAAGTTATGAACCCTCAAACTGAGGTCAACTCGGTGGTCAAATGAAATCTGTACGTGTTCACAGAAATGGTATTTGTTCACGTGTATAATATTTTCAACATATCATGTATAATTTCTGAGCTATATATACATACTTAAATCAACAAACTTAACGTTGAATTAATACTGGAAATAAAATATTTTAAGTTTTATGTAAGATGAAATGGTGATAGAGAATGGAATTATTCTGAACTGTTTTAAGCCACTGTCGCCGAAATGGAATTCCTATTTGTCGTCTTCCAAATCTTTGTTTGAATTCAATTCTTGTATTGCTTCGTAAATTCAGTTTTTTTTTACATTTTCAACTTCTCTAAACTCATTAATGCCAAAATAAAATTGGTCCTTAAATAATTTACCCATCCAGGAAATCGTATAATTTTTATGCAACTAAACTAAGTTAGAACACTATTCGTAAGCAATGCACAAACATATATATACATTGCTGGCATCCTGCATTATGTATTATGAGCAAACGGTAAAATGAATCTACTCTTTTAATACATCATAGTTCATGTTTATTTGGTGTCGACAAAGATTTCTCTTTACATATTTCTTGACCAGATCGACATGTGACTTTAGCTTTTAAGATCATCTCTGAATAGAAGTATATAATCATTGGTACAAACCGTTTCCAAACGGTAGATTATCCAGATCAAGCTGTGTATTGGTCATTGTAAACAGGTATGTACCGTTGGTGTTCAGATCAATGGCCCCTGTCCACACATCTGCATCGTCATCACCTGAAAGGAATTTAACTAAAAGTTTCGTTATTCATTTAGCAAATATCCAGCCCCGCAACTGGACGAATTCAGCAATAAAGCGTGATTCATTTGATTAGAAGGAGTTGTTGATATACGCCAATGAGGCAATGACCAAACGATAAAGATAATAAAGACATCTAGAGATATGGTAATTTTCTATACAAACCACAAACATGTCGTCATTCACTTCAAAAGCTAACCAAACCTTTAAACAGACTTATTCAGAAGGGATATAGTTACGATACTGATGTCAGGTCATTAAAGATGGCATATTTTGGAATTAATATTGATTCACTCATAGGGTCTAGCTGCATTGGATATAAACACATTTATTCTAAAACCAGTTGTTGGCATGATACGGGTTATGTTCTTCTCATATATTTTATGATGGTATGATACTAAACCCCTAACGGGAGTGATTGTGCTTGATTGTCATATGATGAAGACATAATCTTTCATTCGGTTTAATTGAGGTCTGGAGCTGGCATGTCAGTAACTGTTAGTAGTCCTTTGTTAATTTGTGTATCATTGTGATTTTGCTTAGTTTCTTCTGTTGCCTTTTCTGACATCGGACTCGGACTTCTTTTAAACTGAGTTTTACTGTTCCTATTGCTGTGTGTTTGTTTATTCTACATTGGCTAGGGATATAGGGGGAGGGTTGAGATCTCACAAAACATGTTTAACCGGCCGCCGCATTTTTGCGCCTGTCCCAATACAGAAGCCTCTGTCCTTTTTTTTAAGACTTGCATGTGTTTTCTTAATTTTAGTTCATTTATATGTTTCGGAGTTAAGTGTGACGTCCATTTTCACTGAACTAGACACATTTTTGTTTAGGGGCCAGTGGAAGCCCTCCTCCGGGTGCGGGATTTTCTCGCTGTGTTGAAGACCTATTGGTGGCCTTGGGCTGTTTTCTGCGCTTTGGTCGGGTTGTTGTCTCTTTGACACATTCCCCATTACCATTCTCAATTTTATTCAAAATCAGGCATATGCCTTTTTTAATCGACCTCTAAATAAGTTGGTAATTGATAAATTATACAGAAACTACCAAAGACCTTCCATCAACACCAAATTCAAGAATAATTTAAAAAGAAAGAATAGGACATAAGGCAATAACCGGAGAGGTTCCGGACAAACACATGTTGCGGGGTTAGACTAGTTTTATGAGTACTTCATCCATTCGATCAGAGGACTTACGAAAAGTACATACAATTAAAATTAGTACACTTAACTCACTTAACTCCAAATTAACAAAAAGTTTACAACAACAGCGAAAAGAATGAATTGAAAATGTATTATTTCGTAGCCAGGAAAGTCACAGTAGCAAGCGCATAGTACTAAACATTGATATTAAATCATGTCATCTTACGCTTAAATATCTGTCTCTGAACTTCATACAATATTTCATACAGTATCGTCACGAGCAGCATACGAACACACGATATTGTAAGATTCCCAGTGATAAATGTACTTTATTACGTCGGTTGAATCACAAAAATTCCAAAGTAATAATAGCAATCCATCAATCAATACCAACACCTGAAAGACCTAATGATTTTAATCCCAAAACTTCTTATAATCCCTTTTTAATTGACGAGTCAAGTAGACAAAACTCTGTTTCTATCTACAAACAGCAAAAAAAATCTTTCCGCAACAAATAACAACTTACCTATTCCAAATTTTTCCCGAAGTGCCTCAGCTTCATCTTCGATGTCTGGGACCCATAAGTGAGCACCTGGAGTGCCCATACATTCTGCCTGCAATCACAAAAAAGAGTTAACCACACAAAAGAAGCAATGAAGATATATGGCAAGATTCCCCTGATTCTAGTTATATTTTCAAAATCTCAATATAGTATTAACTAACTTTCACCAATACTTACTGTAACTATTGTGATGTATTTGGTTGCATAAAAGTACATGATTTCTTATAAATTATCATAATGAACAATAATCTCCGGACTTGTAAGGAATGTTCCAAAAAGACTGAAGTAACTAAATGTATTGGTTAATTTATCTGGGGCTATGTTAAATAAAAAAAAAAACTCTAATTGATGATTTTCGACTTCTTTTAGAGGAGCTCCGACTTTGATATGTAAACATAAATATTCACCATCAGATTATTAACAAAATTTTAAACAATAATTTACTTTAAAGAGGAAAATGCTACCAAAGTTATGCTTTTCATCGTTTTGCGTCCGCTTGCAGGTAAAGGGTTTTGTTAAAAAATGACCCAAACTGTTTAGTTTGTGAAAGGTGTGTTTTTATATGTGTGGTTTTGTTTTCATTCTAGTTAGATATATGTTTTTTTTCTTAATTTTACGCAAAAAAATAAATAAATATATATTATTGATTTGTAATCTCACCTCTGCCAACTGCCATGATAGATAGTTATCTACCCCACCAAAGAGGTAACAGTTACGACTAATTTGTTGATTATCCAGCTTTGTATATCCAATGGGACACGTACACGATGCTAAAATAAGATGTTAGCAGTGGTAATAGCTTGTAACAAGCACTGTGATAACCACAAAATCGCATAAATCAAATGACACCAACCTCCAGTAGCATCAAGATTTCACAATCTCTTTCTCTTTCGATTCAACATTTCCATTTATCAGAACATACATATTTTATTGTGAAAACGAACATATTAAGCAAAACATATATATTCTTATTTATAGTTTGTTCTTATGTTGTGCTGTTACATCACTGTCCCAGGTGAGGGGAGGGTTGAGCGCTCACAAGCATCTTTAACCTCGCCACATTCTTTATATGCCTGTCCCAAGTCAGAAGCCTATAGTTCAGTGGTTGTCGTTGGTTCATGTCTGTCATATTTGTTTTTCGTAAATTGTTTTGTTATACATTAGGCCGTTTGTTTTTTCAATTGAATTGTTTCATATTTCTCACGTCGGGGCCTCTTATAGCCGACTATACGGTATTGGTTTTTCTCATTATTGAAGGCCGTGCGGTTGCCTATAATTGCTTACATCCACTTCATTTGAACTTTAATGGATAGTTGTCTCATTGGCAATCATACCACATCTCCTTATTTTTATATTGTTAAAAATATTATATATTATTGAGAACGCATGTAATTTTAATATACTAACTTTTTCCAGAATAACTGATATATGCTATTATACTGATATTACTGAATATTGTCTAGAAGATAAATTATAATGCGCTAAGATGACGATGATGATTTGGTATTTAATACCAGTGGCAAGTATTACATACATATCAAGAAGAGATAATTTCAATGTGATATGAATATGAATCCGGATTTGAACTAGACAGACACAGTAACATTACATGCATGATTTTTTAACGTGCTAGTTCACAAAGTTACCATCCACAAGAAAACATGTTACAGTACACAGACACATTATTCTGACTGCGAGTCGACCAATCTCTGTTCTTACTCCTTAATGCCGCGTGGCTGGCTGAGGAGCATCAGATACCAATTTGCAAGTCTTTGGTTTGACCGTTCAGGGTGTCGAACCAATGAATTTCTGCACTCGAGGCGAGCGCGCTACCAACAGACTATACCATTGCAGTTAATGTGTTGATAAACACATTTACCCAAGTGCAGTATCAGTGATATTGCACGAATAATTTTAGTAATATTTTACATGGAATATTAGGGGTTAACAGTCACAAATTTATATCCCTGCTCCATCATTTGTATAATATAGCAAAGTCAATTATTTGCTGAGTTAAGCTCCAAAATTATTCAAATTGAAAAACTGTACGCAATGACATTATGGAAGAAAGATTATGTGAAAATTTCAAGGAAAAATATGTCATCGTTTTAGGAGAAGTTGCAATTTACATTTATTACAGCGTCTATTTTTCTATGCTATTGGAAATCCCAAAACCATTTAAATAAAAAAAAAAAGAAACATGCGCAACTCCCATATATAGGTACCTTGTATCAAAGATTATATGAAGGTTTCGTTAAAATATACTAGTAGTCTCTGGTTTAGAGGGAGTTACAGAAGCAAATTACGTACGGATAAACGAATAAAAGAACAAACGAACAATCGGGAAAGCGAAAGCAAAATCTAGGTTATAATAAGATAATCTTTTTATTGTGCGAGGTGTATATGTCAGTATTGTTTCATTAAATTCGCCAATGTTACTTCTGAAAATGTGCGTTTTAATTTTTAGTTATATAATTATGTACACTATCATTACATCATACTTACTATACACGTAATAAATGTTTTCATTAATTGCGGTGCAAACTGTTAGTAGTAGACGAGATAAGAGGATGATAATCTGATATTATTGTTGAGCTGAATATTCTTGTTCATCTCGTCTGGGGCAAGGTTCTTACCAGGCCAGAATAAATCGTTCCTAAAATCCTCCCGCCCCCTCTCAGAATATCAAACTATTGTCCCAAAGAGAGTCTCGGGGAGATCATATATATATGGCGAGCCGTTCTCGTCAAAACTATGTTTAAACCATTTTTCGAAAAATTTACACACTGAGAATTAAAAAAAAACACACTGAGATTAAAAAACCTAGAAACACACACTGAGAATTAAAAATTACACACTGAGATTTCATAAATATGCACTGAGATTACAAAAAAAAAGAAGAAAAACACACACTGAGAATTGAAAATTACACACTGAGAATTGAAAATTACACACTGAGATTTCAAAAAGACACAATGAGATGAAATAAACTGAAAAACACACACTGAGAATTTGAAATTACACCGTGACTGAGAATTTAAAATTACACACTGAGATTTGTGCGCACTTTTTATGCGCACATAACTAATTAACATACTTAATCTGACAAGCTTAAAACAACTAGGGGACAGAACTTGTTAGTCCTTCAATTTGGCGCCAAATGTTTCACAAAAAAACATTAGAAATACAACTTATAGAAAAACTACGTTATTAAAGACCAGTAGAACAAGAAAAATATCCACTTACTCTCATTATGAAAAATAACCAAATGGTGAAAAATTTTATTAAAATTTTAAGAAAAAATTGGAACAATCTGCAAAAAGACAAACAATGCAGTGAAATTTTTACCCAAGTGCCTATTATAGCATATAAACGTACCAAAAATATAAAAGATTACCTTGCGAAATCAGGGTAACAGTTGAAAGACTTTTGAAAAGGGACCCATGCTTAAACAATTTTAAGCAAAAAATAGTTAGTAATGTGCATATTAATCTCAGAATGTATTTTTGAAATCTCAGTGTGTAATTAACAATTCTCAGTGTGTGTGTTTTTCGATTTATTTCACCTCAGTGTGTCTTTTTTTTTTTAATCTCAGTATGTAATTTTAAATTCACAGTGTGTGTTTTTCATTTTTTTTAAATCTCAGTGTGTAATTTTAAAATCTCAGTGTGTAATTTCGATTTCTCAGTGTGTTATTTTAGGTTTTTAAATCTCAGTGTGGTATTTTTAATTCTCAGTGTCTATTTTATTTTCGAAAAAAGGGTTTAAACATAGTTTTGACGAGAACGGCTTGCCATACATATAAAACCATGTGTGGTTCTGGTTAGAAACATATTCTTTTAAACAGAATTTTAAAACAAACTTAGTCTGTGATGCATGATTTTTTTTATTATTAATTGTTTTTGGCTTTTAACTAGCTGTCAGTAACTGCGAATACTCCCAAATCGTACTTTCTTGTTTATTTGACCTGTTGATACTAATTGTATTGCTTTTTTGTTATTTAATGTTTTTCAGGGTTATATCTGGTCTATTTCCTGCTTTGATAAGTGTTTGGGATTACTATAAATTTTCACTTCTTCGTACTATGAACATCAAAATTATTTATTTTGTAAAAATATTTCCTTTCTCTATTTGAATTGTACACATATACCTAACAACAAAATTATTTTCATTTACCTGTGTTTAAAGTAATTGCAAATGGCTTATATTTTTGTTCAAGCATATTGTTTTTCTTAAATTGTTTAACATTTCACAGCGGTATAACATGTTACTTTAATTATTCTTCCCTTAGTTTATTTATTTTGTATTTACACTGTATCATAGATCAAATTTATGTGTTCAGTGTATGTTCACTGGTGTCAATATGTCTTTTGATTGGGTTAAGCCATTTCAATTGATATTCTATAGTGTGTCTTTCTATGTTGTGATGTTACACTATTGTTTCAGTAATGGGTGAAGGTTTGGTACCATTAAAACGTTTAAACCCGCTGCAATTGTTTGCACCTGTCCTAAGTCAGGAATCTGATGTTCAGTAGTTGTCGTTTGTTGATGTGGTTCATAAGTGTTTCTCGTTTCTCGTTTTTTATATAGATTAGACCGTTGGTTTTCCCGTTTGAATGGTTTTAAACCAGTAATTTTTGGAGCCCTTTATAGCTTGCTGTTCGGTGTGAGCCAAGGCTCCGTGTTGAAGACCGTACTTTGACCTATAATGGTTTACTTTTATAAATTTTGACTTGGATGAAGAGTTGTCTCATTGGCACTCATACCACATCTTCTTATATCTATTGTCTAATATATATGCATCTGCTTAGTAGTTAAACATAAAAATAATGATATCGGTTTCCCGTTTTTAGTCGTTATATATATTGATCAGAAACAAACTGTCGTATAAATTACATATCTTTCTTTATTTTCTTGTAGGTCGTATTACTTGAGTTTCGCATTACGACAGAAAATGATATTATTCACTTTGATGTTACTTTCTTCAGCTTTGATTATATATATCATTCTGAAATATGATTATCTTGTTTTTGTGATTTACCAGATTTTCCTAAAATCGATCACGATCCTTCTATTTTCATATATTTTTCTTTTTTAGTTAAAATAAATCATGAAGGTGACGCGATTGGTGTCGAACTTTTTTTTCAGGCGTGAGAAACATCAAGTAAGCAAAACAAATTTCCTTAACTAAAAAAATATTATAAAGAATAGCGTGAATTTAATCGGGATAATAACTATGTCATTGTTACTGTGGAACACATTCCTATAAAATTAGGATAATACTACCGTTTGTATAACTGAGTCTTTGTAAGTGGCTTTTTAGAGTCTCGACAACTCATTGGATTCAAAAAGATTATTGGATTTTGAAATCGAACAACAAAGCTCAAATATGAACCACGTGATATGAACCGAATAAATCCATCTATATGTTTTGGTTTCTTATAATTGTTAATGTCATCTAAACAAGTTGTGACAAGTTACAAGTTTGAAAGGTTTATTTTCTACATATCTAAATGCATATGTTTAGTTTTTTATAAGAGTAGTGGAATTAATTTACAGATTGGTCATACTCGAAATTTTGATGACATAAGAATTGAGACATACATATAGTATTGTATTATTGTACAGGATATCTTTACATCATTTGAAAACGTAAAAAAAATCGGTTTTATATTTGTGATAATGTGTTTTTTGTGTGTCCCTAATCTAATTTATAGCAAAAGGGTCTATGTGCGTTGTAATTTTCATTGAGCGAAGGTCTAAAATTTGATCCTGATTTTTCCGAAGAATGATCTAATGTGGTGTTCATTTGGCATTCTGGCCTGCACTTCCTTTGTTTAATTGGTCAATGTATTTTGTTTTTAATTTTAGAGTCGCATTACACCTCAATCTTATGATGATATATAGTAATACTTCAAAGGAAAATAAACCTTGAAACAGAAATAAGTGAAGTGCTATTGTTAAAATAAGTATGAAACCTATCCTTTATCGAAAACGTAAAACATGCAAATGTGTTTTTGATGTGCATGTACTGATTTTGTGTCATGGATGGATACCCCATATTCTTTTTTTTCTATTACAGTACATGTATTTACAATCATCGTATTTGGAGAAATTCCCTATATATGAGGGTTTGGATGGGAATATATAATTATAGAGAATGATTAGCAAAATAGAGACAAATAGGCAAATATAATATAAAGAATTGACATTGAATGGATACTAGCTACAACATAAAGAATAGAGAATAATGGGCAAAGAAATAATTTTTTTTTAAAGATTGTCTAAAAAATTAAAGAATACAAAAATTAATTCCCCTATCGAGAAACTACTATATGGATATGAAAAAGACGTTAATTCCAAAATAGAGACAAAACTTGTGCATAGTACGACGGTGTTTAGAAATACAAAATTTTATAAGATTCTGTAAAACACTATAAAACAGTAAGTTAGACGACTATAACACTTACCAGGTACTGGTTCCTTTCTCATAGTCTGTGTCCCCATGATAATGTTACACTATAAAGATGTAAAGTAGACGACTATAACACTTACCAGGTACTGGTTCCTTTCTCATAGTCTGTGTCCCCATGATAATGTTACACTATAAAGATGTAAAGTAGACGACTATAACACTTACCAGGTACTGGTTCCTTTCTCATAGTCTGTGTCCCCATGATAATGTTACACTATAAAGATGTAAAGTAGACGACTATAACACTTACCAGGTACTGGTTCCTTTCTCATAGTCTGTGTCCCCGTGATAATGTTACACTATAAAGATGTAAAGTAGACGACTATAACACTTACCAGGTACTGGTTACTTTCTCATAGTCTGTGTCCCCGTGATAATGTTACACTATAAAGATGTAAAGTAGACGACTATAACACTTACCAGATACTGGTTCCTTTCTCATAGTCTGTGTCCCCGTGATAATGTTGCACTATAAAGATGTAAAGTAGACGACTTTAACACTTACCAGGTACTGGTTCCTTTCTTATTGTCTGTGCTCCATCATTAACTTCCACATCAGGACAACAAGCTGAATGTAAATGACAAATATTCAAATCACTTTCATAGCTGGCAGAGGAACAGCTATCCCGACTGGTACATATCATAGCACATTCTAGAAATGATATCGTCAATGTTGTGTCTAATGGTGTCCCACTTATTCGTATGTCATTTTCTTGTTTAAGGTTTTGTAATTTAACATCTGTACTTGCTAAACAGAGTGACAAAACCGCCACTACTGCTGTAATGGAATAAACGATTCGATAAAGCATGGCACTGTCAAAAAAAATACTTGTGTCGATTCTTTGTTCTTATGTTAGCGCTGTATATTAGCACCAAGGAGATTATTGAATTTATGCCAAGTGTTATCCCTCTAACTATGCTCATATTTAAATCAATTAGTACATTGAAACGTTTTTAATACGTTCAACATTGATCTATAAGAAGGAAACATATCTTTAGGTAAATGTTGTACTTATATTTGGTCCTGAAATGTTTGTTCAGTCATATTTTGTTCGCCATAGTAGAAGCGATTCGAGCAAAAGGGAAGACAAAGAAGGATTAACATTACTGGTCAAGTGGAATTTTGATAATAACCTTTACCATATACATACAAGTAACTGAAAGGATGGTGTATTATTCAGATAAATTGAAG